CACTCGCAAGGCAAGCACTCTACCACAGAGCCACAACCTCAGCCCTTACTGACTTTATTTTTTATTTAACTAAACAATTGAGTACCTGTTATGTGTCAGGCACAGTCACACTTTGGACCTAGAAAGGTAAGTGTAACAGAATTCCAATGTCTTCTGTTTTGGAGAGTCTTGCAGTCAAGTGTAGGAAGCCCTTCATAGATGGATACTAAGAAAAAAAGAATGTGAAAGGTGGAACAGAACAGAATCATCTCTGAATAATTTCTCTGCCAGGAAGAAAGGAGCGTCCAGCCCATAGTAAACCTCAGAGGTCATCTCTGCATCCCCTCTCAGTCTGGAGCATAGGCCATAGAGCTGGCCAAAGCCAGAGGGTTGAGGCCCAAGGGCGGGAGCTGACTGTTTAGGAATGCTGGTGGAATGCACAGAAGGCCCTCCCCTGTGGACGTGCAGCCTGGTACCTGACTCTCACCACACCCCAGCATAACTGGAAAGCTTCCCCCGCCCCCCGCCCAAGAGAAATTTTTTCCCCTATGAAGCCAACCATGGAAAATAAAGAGAAGCACAGATAGATAACTGTGTATAAAGGCATCCATTTCTCCCCAGCAAAGCAGTCCCTGAGCAGGGAGCAGAAGGAAAGTGGATGGGAGGTTGCTTTTCAAACTGGGAACCCTTAACTATGTCACCATTAGAGCCTCCTTCCTATGTTCCAAAAGTCTCTGGTGCATAAAGCAAAACCTTAACTCAATACTCTGCTCTTCCTAAATATCCCCTGGCTATTATTAATAATTTCTCATATTTGTAAATGATCTGAGTTTGCCAATGGCTTCTGCAGCTCTCATCTCATTTGGTGATCACGACCATCCTGTGGGGGGAACAAGTTGTGTTCTGCCCTAAATGAGGAGGAGGCTCAAGAGGGTCATTGCCCAAGGTCACACAATTATGACAGGCAGGACTAGGACTTGAACCTTAGTATTCTGATGTGCAGGCCCAGTGTACTCACTATTAGTCCACAGCCTCCAAACGACACTGAGCTCCCAGAAGCCTACATCTTGACATCTGTCACTTTGGGGGATCGAAGCAAATATCAACCTAGTCTAAACTACAAGGACTGAGGACAAGTTATGAAATGCTGACTCTCCCATTGACTTCACATTACACATTTAACTTCCTAGAATTCTGACCCAAGGGAGTAGTGCAAAACCTGTTTAGGGAAAGAATATGGCTGTAGCATTGGATTTGGGAGAAATGTGAATATATAGTGCAGGGTTAAAGGGCTGAGGAAACAAGAAGCCAAAGAAGTGGGTGAAGAAAGGCCTGGTGTTTCTGATATTTGCAAAACCAGAGTCTTCTAAGCAGGGAAAATATATTTGTTCCCTTGGTTCTTGGGATCCGCAAAGAAGCAAGCCCGCTGCTGCCTTTTCTACTGAGAGTATTAGCAGTGTGGCAGCACTTGTAGACTGCAGTGCTAGGTAAGAGATTTGGAGCCTCAGAGCAGATCCAGGTTTAAATCTCAGCTTCTGCACCTTCTAGCAGTGTGACCTTGGGCAAACTAATCCCTTCAATCCTCCTTTTTTTCATCCTCAAAATGGAAGCAAACAGATCTTTTAAGAAAGTGCCACTGTGCTGACACGACACCAGTGATTTGAGCCCCATGAGACTCATTGAAGACTTCTTCCCTCTGGAACTGTAAGATAATACCTTTGTGGGGTTTTAGGCCACTATGTTAGTGGTAATTTGTTATAGAAGTGGTAGGAAACAAATACAGATTTTGGTTAAAATGCCCATCCCTCAAGTCTGTTGAGAAGATGAGCATAAAGAGCCTAACTCAGTGCCCATTCAATGGCAGCTTCTGTTATTATTTTTGTTACTTTGGAAGATAGGTGAACTTTCTAAATTATTAGTGTCCCTGATGCCAAAGGCCTAAGGGAGAAGGAGAAAATATATAGTGGAAAAGAAAAACTTCTAGTAGCCAGCAAATTCAGGATATCTGCCCATCATGGGTTCCTGCCTTCCATAAGCCAGCCCACAGCTGGGCTGCCTCCCTGGCAATTCCTACCATGTCTGTTGAGGTTTCTTTTGTGCTTTTTTTTGCACAAACCAGGCTCCTATCTGCTTCCTTTCTTTACTCTCCCCTCATCTGCATTTTCTCACCCTAACTTTGACCCTTGGAATTCTCCCATGGTGTATTCATTTGCCCTTTCCCTCTCTTTAAAAAATCTGTGTGGCACCATTTGACCCAGCTATCCCACTCCTTGGCCTATACCGAAAGGACTTAAATTAGCATACTATAGTGACACAGCCACATCAATGTTCATAGCAGCACAATTCACAATAGCTAAACTGTGGAACCAACCTAGATGCCCTTCAATAGATGAATGGATAAAGAAACTGTGGTATATATACACAATAGAATATTATTCAGCATTAAAAGAGAATAAAATTATGGCATTTGCAGGTAAATGGATGGAGTTGGAGAATATCATGCTAAGCAAAGTAAGACAATCCCCCAAAACCAAAGGCCAAATGTTCTCTCTGATAAGTGGATGCTGATCTATAATGGGGAAAGGGAAATTAGGGAACTGTGATTGGGCAAAGCAGAGAGTGGGAAGGGGAAGGGGCATGGGGGCAGGAAAGATGGTGGAATGAGATGGACATCATTACCCTAGGCACATGTATGACTGCACATATGGTGGACTCTACCTTGAGTACAACCAGAGAAATGAAAAATTGTGTTCATTCTATTTGTGTACGACGAATCAAAATGCATTTGTTGTCATGTATAACTAATTAGAACAAATTTAAAAAAGGAAAAAGAATCAGTTGGCTGAAAGTAAAAAGAAAAAAAACTGTGTGGCAGAGTCATATTTGGAAAAGCATATATTTTACTCATAATTGACTTGCTCAGCTCCTTTCTGGACCAATGGAGTCTTGAAGGTGATCTATCTAACCCTTTCCTTTTTCTCCATATCCCTCCTACTTTCCCCCGGTTATTCATAGAGTTCAATTTGTTTAAATGCATTTTACTTTAAATTTCCTCCAAAAAAAATGCTTCTTCATTCTGTTCCATAAGTCAAATTAATCACCACAAATAGGCTGCTACCTGAAAAGTAGATGCATAATCAGCATAATACTGGTCAATAATGGTGCTGAATTTTGCCTCTCCAGATTTTTGCCCTTTTCTCTCTATACTTCTGTTATCTGAACTTCTATCTTTCACAGTCTAGTTTAGAGAGTAACCCAACTGGTCAGAGATAATGTCTGTACATACCAGGAATGAACTTCACACGCAACTCATCTGTGTACATGAGTAAAATTCTCCTTTAGGGGACTTTGTGCTTTAAGTTCTTTAATGTAGTAAGATTCCACTCCATTTAGTGTGCAACAACACTGGAAAGAAAGGAATGGCATTTCTCAGTGGAAACTTCACACAGGGATGGTGCGACAATGATCCAGAATCTTCCATTCCTCAGTAAACATTAATGGAGTACCCATTATGTGCCAAATTCTAGCCAAGAATACACATATACTTTAACTCCTCAAGTTCCTAGTTTCCCAGGAAAATAGCAAAAGGAAAATATTTATAGATAACTTCAATTTCCCAGAAAGTGACTAAGACATATATTATAGTGCAACAGGGAAGTTAAAATTTAGCAAGTCCTCGATCAGATAAAAGCCTTGCCTCCCACTGATTCTGGTCTACAAACCAGGAATTAAGCCTGAACTGGCTACCTTTTTGTCTCCTGGGGGGCTTGCTCTTCTGTCTCTACTTCCTAACTTTCCCTTTCCTGGAAAGTTGCTCATCCTCAGTTCCCTGCTTCCTCCTACATGTTCCCAGGTCTACTCTACTGGTCAAAAACAGACACATTCTGCAAGACCCAGGGCTCCTTTCCTCAGAACCCTCAGTATTTTGTGTCTGCACAACCACATGGGAACATAACTTCCCTACTAAAACACAAAAGCCTATAATAAACAATCTCCCTTACATTTCTGTGTATACCTCACAATGCAAATTATATCATTTAATACATTTTTATTTAGACCATGAATGCATGAATTGGTTAGTTGATTGATTAATTGATAAACTATTAAGAGATGGGGATGGCTTTTCTCAAGATGTACTAAGCTCAGAAGCCCAAATGATTGACTTAAACATTCACCCATGTGTTCCTTCCAGGTAATTCTCAGAGAGGCTAGAAGCCCGTGTTCAGCTATCTCTGACATGGAACATTTTGCAACATTTCTGGAAGCCAGTGTTAGCTGCAGGGAAGTTCTTGGATCCTAGAGTCATACAGACAAGGACTTCCCAAAAGCTGAAGACATTCATCTCTGCTGTGGCTTCTTGGATAACCCAATTTAAGCTTTAGTTTTCTGATCTGCAAAACGCAGCTGCCTCCTCTCTTTTCTTGTTCTATCTAGTTGGCTTATGAGAATTAGGTGTATGAGTGTAAAGCATGCCCTTTTCTCTCTATACTTTCGTTATCTGAACTTCTTCTTTCAGCAATCTACTTATTAGTATATCTAGTAACACTCTCTGTGACATTTTATTTGCCAAGTATTTTTTAATAACAAAATATTCATAAAATAATGGTTTTTAACAGAAACCCACAGTTCATATGGAAACCAATCACTAACTCTATGAGTTTATCCTTTGGGTTTCATAGGTCCCTGGTAGAGGATATGCAGGACTCTTGGTGTGTGTCCGTCCTGCAGTCCTCACCATCTCAAATCTCCTTTTTATTCTTGAAGGGCCTCAGTTCATCCCTCAAAAGTATGCCTCCTGTACCTCAAAGGCACTCATCAGACTCTGGAAGCCTTTATTTTTCTTTTTCTTGTTTATAAAGTTATTGTGATTACTAAGCTAACTAATCAAATTTCCTCCATTACTTAAAGATTATACATGCCCCAAGTTTGGATGTTTTGGGACACAATGTCATGATGTAGTCATGGTATAGATACTACAGCAGTATTTATCTGCTCCTACTAAAGCATAACATTCTCAACTGTGTCTTCAGCTTGTGAGAAATCCTGAAGATGGCCAAGGATGATTCCACTGTCCGTTGCTTCCAGGGCCTGCTGATTTTTGGAAATGTGATTGTTGGTGTAAGTAATGAGAATTTTCAGAAAAGTCTGCTTTTCCTGTAAGCATGAGTTTATATTAATCAAAAGCGAGATTTAAAATGAAAATAATGACTTTTGCTTCCAACTTTAAAGCATACGAATCTAAAAGAAATCACATCCACCATGGCCAGTATCCAAACACACCTATCACAAGTGCACTTCAGTGCTTCTTTCTGATTTCATCTTGGTCTGATTTTGGGAATCTGTTACTAAGGCTGTTAGGGCAAATATCTGCATCTTCTTGTTCTCCTACACAGAGGCCAATACTGGGATGTGGGAATGTCTTGTAGGTCAAGCTGTGTGGGTACAAGGGAGAGCACTTGTTTGGGAGTCAAGAGACTTATTCTTGGACCGGCTCTGCCTCTGACTTAATGTGTAACCCTGGACAAGTCATCACCTTTCAGGGCCAAGATGTCTCCACTATGAAATACAGGCCATGGGATAAGCTTCTAGCCAAGATTCTAGCTCTCACTGATAAGTATGATCAGAACCACTTCAAATATTACAATCCAGCAATGTGGGCAATAAGGCAGTGGGGGAGGGCTGGGGATGAGTGGTAACCTTCATATAAAAAAGGCATTATCTAGGGCTGAGACTGTGGCTCAGCGGTAGACCGTTCGCCTATCACGTGCAAGGCCCTGGGTTCAATCCTCAGCACCATATAAAAACAAGCAAAAAAATAGATAAATAAATAAAATAAAGGTGTTGTGTCCAACTACAACTAAAAATAAATATTTTTTTTTTTAAAAAGGGCACCATCTAGGGCTGGAATGTTGCTTGGTGGTAGAGCAGTTGCCTAGCATGCATGAAGTCCTGGATTCATCCCTAGCAATACAAAAGAAAAAAAATAGAAGCCATGTCAGATTATTTTTTGGATGGTCTAAAATTATCTAGGTATTTTCCCAAATAGGAATAAGACCAAGAGACATGTGAAAGAAAGTAGTATCCAAGGGAGACTGTATATGGAAGGAAGGAGCAGGATGGAACTAGCTGTTTGATTTCCTGGTAATGAGGAGTTGGAGTCAGTTGCATAAAAGCTGTGCAGGGGAGGAAGTCAGTCTGTCTCACCGCCCCCACCTCCATTCCCTTTCCCAATGCTGTGCTCCTGGCCACCTGCCTGACACTACCCACTCTTGGCTTGCTCCCAGATGTGTGGCATCGCCTTGACTGCAGAGTGCATCTTCTTTGTATCTGATCAACACAGCCTCTACCCACTGCTGGAAGCCACCAACAATGATGACATCTATGGGGCTGCCTGGATCGGCATGTTTGTGGGCATCTCCCTCTTCTGCCTGTCCGTCCTAGGCATTGTGGGCATCGTGAAGTCCAACAGAAAAATTCTTCTGGCAGTAAGACCTTAAAACTCTCTATAACTGTTTTCATGGACCCATTTCAAAGGATTGTTTCTTCATCACTGAGCACAATGCCTGGGCTTTCCTTGACACACGTAGGAGTAGAGAGTTCCAGATGAGGGTGAAAAAGCAGGGAGGTTCCCTGCAGTGACATCATCCCTTGGAGCAAGAACATTCTCCAGAAGTCCAGGAGGTTCTCATACAGGGAACCCAAAGGGAGACATCTGGGAGTGACTCTACTGATTGTTTTCTAGATCTATGCTTCTCTAGCTGATATCTGCAGTTGCCCAATATATACAGCCAGAAATTACATAAGACCAAAAAAAAAAATTGTGAGAACTTGTTTATTAGATTTTTTGCCCTTGACAAGAAGTAGTTTTAAATACTATTTTAATATTAATCATTAATATGTAAGGACATAAAATACCAAGTAGCCATGAAGGTTTCAGAGAAAGCAGGAGGATTTTTGAAGATTTTTGAGCTCAAGGCTGCTGGGTTTATATGAGGGCCTGCCCTTCCCACATCAAGAAAACCTTGACAAGCCCCACTGCAAGTGCCCCTTCCACTCACACCCACCTGTGAAGGCTCTAACCCTGTCCCCAAACCACATACAGCAAGACTGTGACCTGCCTTCATAGATGGAAGCAAATTTGAGTCCAGCAGAGCTAAGAAACCTCTAAGTTGCACCTAGATATCTACTGCCTGCCCCTATGCACCAGGACAGAAGTTTTTTGTGTTGCCATGGGAAAACACATCACACACACACACACACACACACACACACACACACACACAACTCCCAACCTCTGAAATAACTTTCCTGCCCGAATGCTCAGGATCTGAGTTCAACTTTTAGAAAACAAGTCCCACAACTTTAGGTAACTGTTGATTTACTTTTCCTGTAAGCAAACTACTGTCCTGGTACTCAGGGAATGCAGACCATTGCCATTCTCTATTTCCTTAGTGTGAGTTAGTTCAAGGGCAAATGCACCCACTTTGGGAGGGTGGGGAAAGGAATGCAAGGAAGAGGGAGAGGAGAGGCACGTGTCCCTAAAGACAGCCTTCACCTGCATCCCAGCCCAGTGTGTGTCTGACAGAGCCAGGAGGTCTGAGCTGGGGAGGGAGAAGGAGGAGGAGTGCCCTTTCCATGGGACTGACAGGGAAACACCTGCACCCCATGCTACCCTTCCAGAGTCCCACAGAGATGTCCTGAGGCTCTGTGAGAGGAGCAGCACATCTCTTGACAAGTATCAAGGTGGAGCCAATACAGGGAAAAACAGTACAGAGCCGGCTTCTGAAGGTCCCCTGACAGCAGACAGAGGTTTTTACCATCCAGGTGGCGTGGGCAGTAAAGGATTCTGTTCAGAAAGCTTCCCAGGAGCAAAGGAGGAGGACGTTTTTCCCTGCCCTCCCCCACTGACTCTGACCACAGTCTCCCTTCTCAAAAAGGACATAAGGACCAAAAGTGCACGTGTAAAGCCAAGGAAGGCAAAGGCAGAACTCTCACCTAGACTTAAAGGACATCTGCTGCCCGGTATTTTCCAGCTAGAAATAGAGATGGTGTCACAGGGAGGCATTATGTGCCACCATTGGTATGCAGCCCATGTGTCCCATGCACACGCACAACACAAACCCCATCAGTACACCTGGTGAGCTCTGCTTTATTCACATGAGTGACAGGATGTGGGAGGAGGATGCCACTGAGACACTGTGTGCCTGGCTACTGGCTCTTCTCTGATATACCGAGGTCCTGGTTACGAAGGACACCAGATGTTCAACAGATGCTGATTTATCTTCTTCTGACCTCTGAGATTCTAAAATGTTCTGAAAAGCATAAAGAAAATCTCTTAATTAGAGGAGATTTTTAAGGCTCTCCATCATGTGAGACACACTAAGACTCTGCCTGCCCCTGAGCCTACACACACATGTGCACACGCGCACGCACACACACACACACATACACACACACACATATATCGATTCATTCTCTTGCATTTGTTTTTCCCAGTTAAACTAGAAATTCAGGAACTGGATGAGAAAGCTCTATCCACCCTGATCATACAGTGACCTCTTCGAAGATGGAGGTCTCTTCCCCCAATGGGGACTTCAGCCAACCTAAACAAATGGCCACTTGTTCTCCTGAGAAAATCAGAGGGTTTTGCTGACTAGTACAAAGCCTTGCACACAGCACCTAGAACCAAGCCCCATTCCAACCAGCTGATCAAAGAAGCCTTGTGTGATAACTGCATGAATGTTCAGATGACTATATTTAGGTTAAAGTGCTGAAAAATGATAGCCATCATTTGGGGAAGTCTTTTTTGGGGGATAAATGTAATTCTTTTTTCTCGTTTGTTTCCTTTCCAGTATTTCATTCTGATGTTTATAGTATATGGTTTTGAAGTCGCATCTTGTATCACAGCAGCTACGCAACGAGACTTTGTGAGTATGCTCCCCAAAAGCACAGAGCAGAAATGATAATGAGTCTCCATTACCATAATAACATAATGGCTGGCATGCATTAAGCCCTTGCTGTGTGCCAGGCATGCTAATAGGCACACTAATAATAGATAGTTAATTTTACTTAATACTCATAAACCTAAGAGATAGGCAGTATCTCCTGTCATTTTATAAATGAAAAAATAATAATAATGAGACATAAGAAGGTAAAGCAAGCTGGGTGTGGTGGTGCATGCCTGCAATCCCAGCAGCTTGGGAGGCTGAGGCAGGAGGATCACAAGTTCAGAGCCAGCCTCAGCAAAAGTGAGTTGCTGTCTCTAAATAAAATACAACTCAGTGAGAGCCTGTCTCTAAATAAAATACAAAATAGGGCTGGGGATGCGGCTCAGTGCCCCTGAGTTCAATCCCCAGTACACGCCCCTCCCCCCCAAAAAAGAAGATAAAGTAACAAAACTCATCTGAAGTTGCACAGCAAACAGGTGAGAAAGAGCAGAATTCTGACCCCAGGCAACCTGACTCCCAGGGTCCAACCTGGTAACCATAGGCTCATCTTCACTCTGACCCATATTCTACCTCAGCTAAGACTTATCTTTCTTTCTTCTTTTCTTGTTGTTTCCCTACCCTATGCCACCCTATAATATCTGTTCACCCTGGTCACAGTAACCTCTTTGAAGATGGGGGGTTTCTTCCCCACATAGGGACTTAAGCCAACCAGGCAGCCTTAGCCCACTACACTTGGCATCTCTGAGTATGGTTTTGCTCTAAGAGAATGTTCAGAGTCCTCAGCAACAGGTGAGAAGAATATTTTCCCTTCTTTGGGCACTAGTATGCTAACTCTCCCTCTTATTTTTTGCCTCTGTCCCTGTAGTTCACACCCAACCTCTTCCTGAAGCAGATGCTGGTGAGGTACCAAAACAACAGCCCTCCAAGCAACGATGACCAGTGGAAAAACAATGGAGTCACCAAAACCTGGGACAGGCTCATGCTCCAGGTAAGGTGGGTGGTCCTGGGGAGATGCCATTTTGTAGTTAGACCAGTGGCCAGGTGGACATGGTTGGGAGTGAAGTCAGCATCTCTAGGGGGCTTTGCTCCAGAAGAGACTTGTGACAGGCAAGGTCATCTATGCCTCTTATTTACTGGTGGAGGCAGGGGTGCACGAGGAGAATGTTGAACACATGACTCAATGGAATCCCTAAATATATGTTTAATTTCAAGTCATGATGTTGATTTCGCTTACCTTCATGGCAAGTAGATCAAAGAAATTTACATTAATCATATGTTCTACTTCTTAGAAGGCAGGTCTTATTCAATTAAAAGAAAAATGTCTACTCAAATGGCAATTTCTGCCTATCTTACCTTTCTGATACATTTCTATACCTCCCATGTGTCAGTTCTGCTAAGGACTGGGGATATAACTTGATTTAATTACCCAATTTTTTTCTAACTGGCAATCATACCATCCAGTTTATCTCAAATACCATCAGAAGTCCAAGTCTTCCAGAATATGACCCCCATATTGCCATATGCATATAAATTGTTATCTTCTATATACCCCCAATGTGACACAACTTTCCCTACCCTGCTCCTGCTTCCTACCCCCCCCCCCAACTTTTCAGTCTGTCACCAGCAAACCCCCTCATAATGTCCACTCCTTCTTTGAACTCACCCTTTTCTCTCTGGCTTTACTAGAAACTCGACTGCCTCCTAGTGGCACTACCTTTCCTTCATCTTCTTGCTTTCCCCCATATCTCATGCACCCTAGGAACTGGAAATTAACTAAATGCCTCTGTGTTCTACTTGGCTGCCATACTATTTCTTTCCTTCCTTCATTCCTCCTTCATGACATCAGTCTCTATCGCCCATTACCCTTCTTTATTATGATTACTTATCAACCACCTTCCAATCAGTCATTTCCTTCTTTGGGGATTTCAATATCTCACTCACTGTCCACTCTTCATTCATATTCCTGTCATGGGCCTAGCGTGAGACTTTGACAACCACATGGATGATCTCTCAACTCCCTATCCTACAGCATTCCAAAGGTCTTCTCCACCTCAGCTCAGCCACTCTCTTCCATAGCCATGGCTAGTGTGTCATAACCAATAATTACGCTAAGAAAACCCCACTCTGTCCACTGTCTTCTATTTTATCTTCATTTATTCTTTTTTTTAACATATATATGTGTTATGTAAGATTAAATGAGATAATATACTTAAGGGGTTGGTACAATGCTTGGCTCGTAATAAACCCTTAATAAATCTTTATTGTTAATACTAATATCTTGGTACAATAATGTGAGAGAGATATCATCATTCCAATATTACACATGAGCAAATTTAAATGCAGAAAATTAAAAACTAGTGGTGTAGAAATTATAAGTAATTCTTGTTTTGCTTTTCTGCGTTTTTACCATTTTCCTCAATAATTTTGTGTTACATTTATAAGGGAAGAAAATAAACTGGAAAAAAAAGTGTTAGAACCTGGTGTCATGCAGCTGTGCCTCTACATAGAAAAGGAAGATCAATTGGCGCGTAACTGATATCCTTATGTTGGCTGGAATGCAAGATAGAGAGGATAAAGCAAAGTTCAAGTGTTTGAAGGAGGAATGAAGGAAAGAAGGAAATAGTATGGCAGCCAAGTAGCGTGTGTGTATGTGTGTATATATATGTATATATATATGTTGTAAATGGACACAATACCTTTATTTTGTTTATTTATTTTTATGTGGCTGAGGATCAAACCCAGTGCCTCACACATGAAAGGCAAGCACTGTACCACTGAGCCTTAGTCCCAGTCCCTCTTCATTTATTCTTATATTTCCTGCCCAGTAATTTTTCTCCTTTAGGATCTCCAATTAATTGGCCACCTTTTCATGCAATATCACCCTTTTCATATTCTCTTCCCTCCTAACTGTCCCTTCATCAACCTCCTTTACTCCCTTACCTGTCGCTGTTCATCAGGGAACTAACTGACCCCCACTGTGGGAATGCAATTTTCACCCACTCTTCAGCTACACTCTAAGAGCTAAATATTACACAACCTTGGTGACTAATTTAAAACTAAATTTGTGACCATAAGGCTCAAATAGGCACTCTATATTTCCTAGTATTTTTTCCCTGAAAATTCGTTTTCTAGTATTTCATATATTCTCCCCTCTCTTCACATCTGTAAACTCTCTCCTCCCCCTTACTTTCAGCTGTTGATTTCACCTCATATTCTATTAAGAAAATAGAAGGAAGCCAAGCATGGTCATGGTGCACACTTGTAATCCCAATAGCTCAGGAGGCTGAGGCAGGAGGATCTTGAGTTCAAGGCCAGCCTCAGCAAAAGTCAAGTGCTAAGCAACTCAGTGAGACCCTGTCTCTAAATAAAATACAAAATAGGGCTGGGGTTGTGGCTCAGTGGTCAAGTGCCCTGAGTTTAATCCCCAATACACACACACACACACACACACACACACACACACACACACAGAATATAGAAGGAATCAGACAAAACCCATCTCATCTCTATCACCAAATCGGCCCATTTACATGTTTCTGCACTCATGTGTTTTTCCTTCTCTCTAGTGATGACAAATGGACTGTCCATTATCCAAATCCCTGTTTTTTACTCTGCATCTCTCCTTCACTTCAACAAACTTCCTTGCTCTCATCTGCTTCATTAGTTTCCCCCTCAAATCAGCCTGCAAGAACTCCTTCAGTTGTACATGTTTTTAAAAAAAAAAAACTCTTTCTCCACATTCACCCACCATTCTGTCCCACAACTGTTCTATTTCATGGCACATCTCAAAAGAGATGCCAACACTTGCTATTTGCATTTTCATGCCTCTCATCTGCTTTCATCCAACTATAATTGGCTTCTGACCCCACCACTCCACCAAAGCAGCCTTTATCATGGTACCAGTTACCTCCATCCTGCCTACCCCAATGACTAAGTTTCTGTCCTCATCTTATTGACATCCCATCAGCATTTGTCACATGGGCTACTCCTACTTGACCCCCTTTGCTGGGTTTTCACCTTTTCCCAACTAAGTATTACGATACTACAGGGCTCAATTCTAGACTCTTAACTTTTCTCTGTTCCTACCTAAATCCTGGTCTGAAACAAGCATGGCTCAAACTTAACCATTTTTTTCCCAGAATGCTCCAGTCAATACAGAAGAATTATTTCTCTTGATCAAATATTTCCAATTCTCCAATGGCAAAATTGGATACCCTGTAAACATGATTTTTACCATCAAGTTTGCTAGGGTACATTTATTCTAAAAGTTGAGAGATACCGGTAGCTTAAATTTCCTCCCTTGAAACATTTAGAGAATTTATGATAAAGAAGAAAAGTGATATGGGTTGCTTTATCCTCTATCTTGCATTCCAGCCAACATAAGGATATCAATTACGTGCCAATTGATCCTCCTTTTCTGTGTAGAGATATAGCTGCATGACACCAGGTTTTTACACTTTTTTCCGGTTTATTTTCTTCCCTTATAAATGTAATACACAATTATTCATAAAAATGGTAAAAATGCAGAAAAGCAAAACAAGAATTACTTATAATTTCTACACCACGAATTTTTAATTTTCTGCATTTAAATTTGCTCATGTGTAATATTAGAATAACGATATCTCTCTCACATTATTGTATCAAGATATTAGTATTAATAATAAAGATTTATTAAGGGTTTACTATGAGCCAAGCACTGTACCAACCCCTTAAGTACATTATCTCATTCAATCCTCACAAAAACTCTGTAAAGTAGATACTATATTTATCCCAGTTTTGCAGTTAAGAAAAATGAGTCTTCCAGAGTTTTAAACATGTCAAAAGCTACAGGGCTCATTAAAGGCTAGTAAAGTGAAAAATACTTTGCAAACTCTTAAGTTATGCCTTCAACTCTAGTTTGGGAATTTTTTAGTAAACGTAAGATATGGTAAAAATTCCATTTCTTCTTTCTCTCTCTAAAACTCAATTGCTACACTAATAGCTCTAGGAAAGACCATGAAAAAGAATTGTGTATCTCTTATCCACTGGCAGGATCACTGCTGTGGCGTAAATGGTCCATCAGACTGGCAGAAATACACATCCGCCTTCCGGACTGAGAACAATGATGCTGACTATCCCTGGCCTCGGCAGTGCTGTGTCATGAACTCCCTTAAAGAGCCTCTCAACTTGGAGGCTTGCAAACTAGGAGTGCCTGGTTATTATCACGATCAGGTGAGTCCCCTTGCCTCCCAAGACCTGCCAGAAGGTTCTCTTTATGAGAAAAAGATAATGGTCACTGTAAGTACTAGTTTCTCAGTAAGGAATTCTGTCTTTTTTTTCCCCTAAACTCATGTTAATTGATTCCTTCTTTGTGAGTTAATTATGAATGCTAATCTAGAATTGATATGGACACATTTATATTTTAATAAAATAACAAAACAGGAGAATAGCAATGGTGAAATCCAACTTTGTTTAAATGAATATTTGTATAATGTCTAGAATTGGTATTTCAAGAAACAGTTACATAAAACCAAGATTTGCTCTATTTTTGCAAAGTGTATATATTAGAAGGAATGATACCAAAAAGAATGTTTTGCTAGTTTCAAAGCAATGGCAATTGCAGAGGGTACATGCAGTAATTATGTATCCACATTTCTTATTCATTGGTAATATGAGGCAATCTTAATAAAATGTTTGATTGGTAATTTGGATCAAAGATGGTTTACACACAGATGGTTTATGAAAAAGTATCTCCAGGCAGATAAGGATAATATGATGATGATCGTGAAACATTTACTGAGTTCTTACTAGATGCCAGATGCTGTTCTGCGTGCCATACGTCTACTAACACCTTTGATGCCTATGTGATCTCTATTTTCCAGATGAGGAACTAAGAAACAGAGATGCTAAGCAGTACCTTGCCCAAGGTCACACAACTAGTAAAAGGTAGTCAGAATTCAAACCCAAGCAGTCTGGCTCAGGGCACAGACTGTAAGCCAATAGACTTGGTAATTGTCCCCAGAAGCCCTGTGGAGAGCTCCCACAGACCTGTAGCCACCGAGCACAACATTACACACTCAAGCTGTGCACTGCTTTGGGAGTTAGCCCTTTAAGGAAACCTGGTTGGATCCTGGTTTATTCAATAATTGGGAAATGTCACGCTCTTTAGTTTGGGAGTGAATGATACAAACTGCCTGTCTGAGTGACAGGCACTGTACTGCTGATCTTCACACCACATCTAGCAAGGTGCTCAGACTAGGATTGAATACGTTATTTAGGGAACGACATCAGAATGATGGAGATGAGTCTGAAGCGGTGTTCTGAGCAACCCACATTTAGCTGTACAGCAGCTTTGTTCTGGAATTGTTTTAACCAGTTATTTTCAGAGTTATAAAAATTAAATTTGTTGCTTATAATAACAGCATGAAATATAACTATCACTCTCACAACTCAAGAAGTACTTTTAATATTTCAACATTGGAACTGGCTCATGCAAACCAATCTTGATTGGGTTGTAATTACTTATACACTGTGTCACCTCTTCAAGACCAATAACAGACTGATTGGCCTTCAGATGATTGGTTTCTTTCATAGCAACACTTTTTTCTCTAGCACATATAATATTCTAAGTTATGAAAACAAGCCTAACACTGTGCATTTTCTCAAGTTTGGATAGATAAAAATTTGAGGTTAAATAAGGTTTAACTCTTTCTCTTCTCACTGCCTTGGGACCTCTACAACAACTTTGACAACCTTTCTACACCTTCCCTTTCAGTTCCTCGGTCTCATCTGCCTTTGACATCTCCACCTCCACCACCTACCAGTGAACCACAACCACAAATCATCATCACTCAGCCTGCCTTACTCCTCCACCAAATTCCTTAGTTCTGAAATTTCTCCTGGTCCCTGATTCTCTATGCTTCTTTCTACTTCCTCAACTTCATTCATTCTTTGCCCTCAACATACTTTCTGATCTACTAGTCATTTTTCTGATTCTCCCTATCTTGCTCCCCCAGCTTCACCCACATCCAATTCTCTGACTTATATGTCCTGCTAATTCCCTCCTAGAAATCCTTTCCACAAAGCTAACTGTGCCACTCAGTACCTACCATATTCCTGCTATTGCATTCAACACCCTGATCTGTCATGTTTGTTGCTTATTGTTTTCTCTGAGTTTCCTTAAAGACTTATATTATTCATTTCTATGTCTTCAATCCTTAGCATAATACCTGGCACAAAGCAGGCACTCGATAAATGCTTGGTGGGTGAGTGAATGAAGAAGCAAAGGGCTGTCTTTTTTACATTCACACTGTAGCTTTTTAAGGTTTGCAGTGGGGCTGGGGATGTGGCTCAAGCGGTAGCGCGCTTGCCTGGCATGCTTGCGGCCCGGGTTCGATCCTCAGCAGCACATATAAACAAAGATGTTGTGTCCGCCGAAAACTGAAAAATAAATATTAAAATTCTCTCTCTCTCTCTCTCAAAAAAAAAAACAAAATATTTGCAGTGCACAAATGTGCTGCTACAGACATGAAGACTAACTAATAATTAGCAAAGCCATCATAAGTGTGGTAATGGTAGAAACCAACCAGTATTTCACAGGTCAGATGCAAGTATATATATAATGCTATATCATGCTCCATATGTTTCAGAAATGCTACATGCAAATACTGATCACTACACGTTAAGAATAGTATGATGTAAGGAAGTGAACACCACCGAAATGATTACAGTATGTGAAAACATACTAAAGGGAAGAGATGAAAAACTGGGACTTTACTCTGTGAGCTCCGTGAAGGCAAGACCTATTTCTGTCTTGTCACAGTTAAATGCCCACCCGGCACCAGGCACCTGGCCTAAAGGGCTCTTGTATATGTTATTAGATGAACGATCACCTCCCAGGACCTTCAGGAGGATGGGAGTGTTTTGTGAACCTTCAATTGTATTGTAAAAGATGCTGTTGTAATCATTCCCTAATATCATGCTCCATTTGCTCTATAAATGTTTACTAGGTGTCTTCTATGTGTCAGGCACTTATTCTTCGTTCTGGAGATTCAACAATGAACAAAACAAAATCTCTGCCCTTGTGGCACTTGCCTTCTTGTATGGGAGACAAATAGTAAACATGGCACCAAAGAAGAGGTAGAAATCCAGGGGGTGATAAATGCCATGAGCAGCAACAAAGCAGGGTAACCGTACAAAGAATGATGGGGGAAGGTGGTTTTCACTCTAGTTGTCAGGGAAGGCTTGGTCAGGATGATATTTGCAGAATTCTGAATTAAGTGAGAAAATGAGACACTGGAAGATTGGAGGAGAGAATTCTAAATAAAGGAAGCAAAAAACGTTAAGGCCCTCCAGTGGGAGGATTCTTAGATTTCTGGAGGAATACCAAGGAGGTCAGTCTGACGGGATCATGATGGGTGAAGGATGGCTATAAGGCAAGGATGGGTCTAGATCTTATGAGTTCACTCAGGCCTCAGGGAGAACGGTTGGGAGGCCATTGTTGCAATCCTGAAGTGAGACCCTGGGAGGCCAAGGTGGTACCAGGGGATAGGAGGAAGCTTTTGGATGGGATATATTTTTAAAGCCAAACCAAAAAGATTTGCTCAAGTGTTGGATGTTGGCTAAAGAAAAAAAAAAAAAAAGTTAAACATAATTTGAAGATTTTTTCACTAGGCCATTTAGAAAATGAAAATACCTGTGATATAAATGGAGAAGAGTAAAATGGTACAGAAATCAAAGAAAAGCAAAGGAAGGACACAAATGTAGATTATCAAGGGACTGGGGCAGAGTCATGAGGACAGAAGCTCAAGTGGCCATGTGTGGTCACTGAATGGAGCCTGAACTTGGTAAGCCTAGGGTATCTGCTGGAATCTGCTGACATTTTCTGGTAAATCTAGCACATTTGCCTCAGGACCTCATGGTCCGTGGCATTGACCCTTGTTACTGAATTTCCTAGGGATTCCTTATAGTTCCTAGGGCTTTAGTAAAGGTTGCTCAGATGGCAGTTCTAGCCTTACACATGGATATTGTTCCAGGTGGCTAGAACAGAGTATGCCATGTATAAATGCTCACTGAATTGTGGCATGTATGAATAAAAAAGTTAATCACTCTTTTGCATATGTATCATGGCTCCTTGAAATCTCACTGGAATCCAATAATGTTGAAATAATGATGTCAAATGAGAATTAGGGAACATGATATTGGACGGGATTCCTTTAATAATTATTTTTAAATGACTCAGAAGACCTCTGATTTTCAAAACCAGAATCATTTTTACTTTTAAGTAAAATGAATGAACAAATCAAAAAGTAATTCTGCCCTTTGGGGAGGAGAAAAAAATTCAAATTTTATTGAGCATGTATTATCCATATATTCAATATGGGGAAAATATTATATATATATAAATAGTAACAGTTTTGCTAATAAGACTGAGTGATAAAGATACAAATAAATGTGACATAGACTAATAATTCAACAGTGTTACTTATATTCCTTTAGCAAAAGACTTCTAGTAGCTGACTGTCCACAGGAAGGTGGAAATAGCCTGGTTGTGAAACTGGACTTTGGAGGGCATCCATCCAAGTAGTAATCTGCTTTCCCACTGATCTCTTACATCTTTTGTCCTGGTTGCTGTCACACCAATGTGGATCATCCCCTCCAGGGCTGCTATGAACTCATCTCTGGACCAATGAACCGACAGGCCTGGGGGGTTGCCTGGTTTGGATTTGCCATTCTCTGCTGGACTGTGAGTATCCTCTGGCACATGTTTTATTTCTGAAAGGGTGACAATTTTAATTTCTTAAAATTGTCACTGGTTTTCTCAACCACACTAGAAGGTCAGGAAACAGAACCTCAAAGCTGAAAGCTAGTCAGGAAGCTTCTGACAGCAGAACAAGGACAGTGGGCCCCCTTGAGGTGTGGGGAGTTAACTTCCCTACCAGGGAAAGGATATGCAGACCTTCTTTGGTTACTGGGGATGCACTTGCCTTTGGGGTGCGACTGCCTCTTTCCCCGGCCTAGACTTCTTACTGAACTCCAGCCTGCTGCTTTGGGTCTCTAGATCTCAGTAACTAGGTGGCTCCTGCCCAAGCTTCATCCACCTACTTCCTTCCAAAAGGCTGCCCCCATTGGTCTCATCATTTCCTACTGCCCTCTCTATCAGCTGCACATGCAAGCAGGAGATGAGAGCTGTGGTTCTCAGCCCCGGATGCACATTAGAGTCTCCTGAAGGAGCTTTAAACAAACAAACAACAACAAAGAGCTTGGATCTCAGCCTCTGAGATTCTGACTCAGTTGCCCTGGGGGCCCAGGCTTTTTTCCCCCACCTCAAATGATTCCAATTTGCTGTTGAAGTTGAGAAACACTGCATTCAGGGAGCAGTCCCACACTTTTGTCTCACAGCCCCTCGACATTCCCAAAATGTATTAAGGACTTCAAAAAGCTATTACCTGTATAGTCTATATCTACTAATATTTACCCCCATCAGAAATTAAGATAGAAAAAAATTGAATATTTGTTAATTCACTATAAAATAATTAGTAGGAGGCTGGGGATGTAGTTCAGTGGTAGAGTGCTTGCCTGGCATGCCCACGGCCCTGGGTTCAATCCCAGCATTGTCCAATAACAACAACACAGTTACAATAGTAATGACACAATTAACATAAAAGACATCTTTTGGTGGGAAAAAAATGACTATTTTACAAAACAAAAAATGAGACTCAGTGGCAGAGTGCTTGTCTGGCCCTGGGTTTCATCCCAGCATGTCAAATAATAACAACAACGATGATGAAGATGCAGTTACAATAATCATAATGTAGCTAACATAAAGAGCATTTTGGTGGGAAAAGTAACTATTTTACAACACAAAAAAAATGGGGAAAAATTGCATCATTTTATATTCTTTAAATCTCTTTAATGTCTGGTTTAGTAGAAGACAGCTGGAGTCCCTCTTTTGGTCTTTCATTAAATCTGTTGTAATATGTTGACAGGGTTGAAAGATGTGAAGAAAATACATCCTTCACGTAGATGTATAGTCAAAACGGCAGGGATGCTTTAATAACCTTATCTGAAGATAATTGTGAATATTCTTTTGATACTTCACCAAATTCCAGAACTTTCTTAAATATCCATTGCCATAGAGAATCTGAAACTGTGTTAACAAACTTTTCATGTTATTACATTAAATATGTTACATTGGTCTGTACTACCCGTTGAATAAATCTTTTACTATGCATAATTCTATAACATCAGGAATTGGCTATTTGGGGAAATATTGGTTCATTGTGTTAGGCATGTCTTTCAAATGTTGATTGATGTTTTTATGCAACACCAAAAGATCACTTCATTGATATCACCACATTGGAAAAAGATCTCAGGCAATGGAACACTGTCAAGCTCAGGGTAACAGATCAGTTTTCCAAAGATCTGATTTTTGTTTGAAAGCTCAAATTTATTGCTGAAAAAAAATTATCAGTTGTTTTCCTTGAAAGGACAGACTCACTTTGTAAATCTTTGAGATAATATCTGACCAAACATCCAGTTCTGAAAAACCATAGCCTATCTGTTAGTCATTTTTTCGAGTAAAAATAGTGCTTCATAAAAAAATGTGGCTAGGTTAGCTCACAAACAAGTTACTCAAGTGTTTTTCTTCCAGACAACCATATTTCACTATGCCACAGGACTTTTGTAGGCATATTTCTCTTTTGTCACACAAAATATTTAAAAGATGTGTACTCAAAGGTCAAAATGAAAGAAAATTCCAGTTCTTACTACTCTGTTGAGGATAATCTCCAGTAAAACTGGTATTTGTTTTTTACTGCAAGTACATGACAGAAGAGAATATATAATGACTACTAACATATTTTAGCTCCTCTACCTCAATTCTTGCTAAGGCCACAGCCATTTTTTACCTTACACTGCTTTTGCACTAGTACCAATGTCAAACAGTGAAAAGGCCAACGAACCCTAATAATTGTTTAAGCAGTCTTGAAATAATTGTTTAAGCATCTTGAAACCCGGAAAGTGTGTTTAGGTACCATAATTTGAGAAAAGCTGGGTTCAGGGGGAGTAAACTAAGTGAGGCAGGAAGAGAAGGGTGTCTTGTGATCACTTGGTCCACCCCCTTCAGAGTTCCTACAACACCCTGTGCATAACCTGTTGTGGAACTACCCTGCTGTGTTCCATTTGACTGCCCAAGGCTTAGGGATCAGATGCTCTTTGCTGCCCAGGACCTAGCATAGCCCATAGTAAGGGTTCAATAATTTGTTGAATGAATGAAAGCTATCAATAGTAAAATTTCTATTCAAGTCAGTTGGTGGGAACTGTAGGATGACGTTTAAAGGTTTTTGAGTATCTTAGATCTCCAGACCAGTTGTACCTCTTGATATGTCCACAAGTATCAAGTGGGTTTTAGATATAGTAAATTTTTGCAATTCAGAAGATGGAAGGAAGGGACCTAAAGGTATTGAGGGTGTGCTATGGAAAAGGTGCCATATCAAATACTTTCAGTAGTAAACCCTCACAACAGTAGCTTGGTAGGTAGCCAGTCTTCCATCTTTCAAGGAACAGTACTTGAGGAGAGCTCTTGGGCATGTCCAGTTCATTGCTGACCACAAAGGGCTTTCCAACAGTGCTTAATCAGATAAACTCCGAAGCCAACTACCTGGCTCAGAACCCAGCACCCATAGTTCTATGACTTTGATTAAATTCCTTATCATCTCTGTGCTTCAGTTTCTTCAGAGGTTTTTGGAAATAGTAATGCCTGATGAATATAAGTTCCCCTAATAAACATTAGCTTCAATTATTAGTATTACTCTTACTATTATTGTTGTTGTTGTTTCATTCACTTCTCTAGCTCTGGTATAGGTAGAGAAGGTGCTATATTTATTTTATAGATGTAGAAACTGAGGCTCTTGAAAGTTAAGTGACCTGGCTAAAGTCCCCTGAGAGGAGTTGCCAGACCTAAAACAGAACTCAGATATTCCAACACCTTGACTAAGTCAGTTTCTTTGGGTTTTGGGTTCTGTAGCATTCATCAGGGGCAGCTATTCCAGATCATAGGCATCAGAGGAAAAAGGAGAAGTCTCTTGGAAGAAGAGTTCAATACTTAGAAGTAAAAAACTCTTACTCCAAAATGGTAGCTACTAGAAATGGGACCTCATTGGGGACTAATTAGCCCCGATATCAAGAAGAAAGAATTTCCCTAGGAGGCTAGCTTAGCATAGAAATAAGTAGAGCAACCTCAGAAGTCAGAGTCCAGGATGGCACTTGGGGTTGGAAAGCAGGAAACGGGAAGGCTGCCTCTGAGAGGCAGGTAATAATTGATGCTTTAGATCAGAATGGACTCTGTCATATCTGGGTTGTGGTGTTGCTTAAGGTTGCTCTTAAAATCAGTGTCACCTAAGCCTGAAAGAATCTAACTTTATTTTTTTCTCAAGTAAATATTTCTATAAATTGTTTTGTTTTGTTTTCCCCTTTTTCTATTCTAGTTTTGGGTTCTCCTGGGTACCATGTTCTACTGGAGCCGAATTGAATATTGAGCATAAGTGTCACCACCATACCTCCTTCCTCGGGTGACTCTGGACCTGGTGCTGGAACCCATTTTTTCCCAATAGTCCACATTCGAGCTCCACTATAACCTGTGCACGTCTAATCTCACATTGCCAAGTCAGCTGATATGGAGAGCCTTTGGACTCTCAGGATCTTGCAGTTCTCAGGACTAGTATTTTAAGTCTTTGTCTAAGATTATGCAACATTTTTATGCACTGTAAGACAGAGAGGATTTGGAAAGTGGAGACTAGCCTCTCTCATCCCTGTTTATTTTTAATTTGGAGCATAAAAATATTCAAAGAAACTATATTGTCACAGTAAGCCAGCTCTGTATTTGATTAACAAATCTGCCTCTATTTCTCCTTGTTTTCTTAAAAAAAAAAAAAAAAAAAAGCTTCCAGGCTTCCATTTATCTCAGTATTGTCTGGATGAGAGAAGGAAGCAAAAGATTGCTGAACTGTGTCTTTTGCCTTTCGATCCACGGACTTGTGAGTCTCTTGATAAAACTTTGGGATCCTTTTATTTTCCAGAGCAATCTATGATCTTTAGTTAATGATGGTTGAAATTCCCTGTCATGCCCTTTGGAGTGATACGCTTAGTAACATCAATTCTCCATTAATTAAAAGTATGTGGACTTTGAGGACATCAAAGGGGCCTGTTATATGTTGACTCAGTCTTTAACCTGAACGGTCTCAACTTGAAACACCTTTCCAATAGGTGAGATGAAGGCTGGCTGGTAGAACAAGGTGATTTATAGGGATTTTTGTTTGTTGTCAAAATATTTCTCTTCTGAACTGTTTCATTTGCAGTCCTAAAGGAAGTTCCTATAACTCAACATCTGTTTGCCTGATCTTATAAATAAAGAGGGTTTTAAAAGTTGTTTACTTCTTTTGTTTATACTGGCGCCCTAACTGGTCCTGTATGAGTCTAACAAAATCGTTTTCTCAACAGAGGAGCCTACTTCTTGGGAATTAAAGTGGAGGAGATGGAAACTGCGCACACAGGGTGCGGTTTCCTGCTATGGGCTGGCTCTGATGGACAGTGAAACAGTTGGAATTTTGTGTTTATTGTGACTTTTCACTCCTGCTCTCCTTACCCAAGAAGTGCTGGTGGAGCTGATGCCCTTCAGATCCTTTTCCTCTTCCCTTGGAGAGAGCGCAATTGTCTGACACCAATATAACTGTGTCCCTTATGAAGAAAATGTACTTGTCATTTGGGGACAGCTAATTCAGACACGCGGAGCACCCCCACCTGCACCTTTACCAGGTTCTTGTTAGGCTTTGTGCTGGGGCAAAGGAGGGAGGAGCAGAGGGCACACCTGTTGGGGGCACCTGGGGGCCAAGCCAGGGCAAGAGTCTGATTCCTGATCCCTGATTCCCCAGCTAGGAGACCAAAGCCAGCTCTCCCCATCCCAACCCACCAGGACAAAGACATCTTGACGTATGGGAATAAATCCACCTGTACTTGGCTGACTGTTTCTCTCTGTGGTCTCTTAAGAAAGGGAAGGAGAAGGAAGGGGCTTACTTGGGCAAAGCTCCTATTGTCCTTTCCATACTCCCTCCTGCATCTTGTGCTTTTTGCTTCTGCAAAAAGTTCCTACATCTATAAAATAAATAGGTTTTCCTGTGCCTTAGGCCACTGGCTCATTCCTGCTTCAAATCCACTCCAAGGCTTTATGCTCCAAAAAGGTCTCTGCCTACAAAATTCCCTTTCCTTTGTTGACTGGATCTCAGCCAGGTCAGGGGAAATACTTTCAGAAAATTCATTTCTACTAAGGGGTGAGTGACAACTAGTCCCAGCTCTCTTAGTCACTTCAGATTTTTCCTTGATAATGGAAGACAGATTCAGCAATAGGAGCGGGAAGGATCTACTGTGGGGCAAGATAAGGCACTTGCTGCTCCTTAAATCTTATCACTTGACTTCCCTACCAAGAGATAACCAGGAAGAGAAAGGGGTTAGCCTTGGCTCTCAAGTCCCCTCTCCAGTTAGCTTCCTGCCTAGAGCCTCAGCATCATCCTTCAGAGAAGGTACGAATTCCACAGGCTTGGCTTCTCCTAAAACCAAAAAAAAAATACTCTGAAACTCAGGGCCCCACCATGACCAGGTCCCCAGAGCTTGAGAAGGACACACTTTTCAGCTGAGACAGAATGTAGACCCGAGGACCCCACTGCAGAGGCCAGCCATCATCACTTCTGAGCTGAGCTCATAGGAATTTTCAGCTTAACTTTAGGGCAATTCTATTCTCCTGGTTCTTGCTGCCACCGCTTCACCCCTTGCCTGCAGACCCACCCTTCCCTCTCTTTCTTCTGAGTCCTGGAACTGAAAATGGGGCTCACTACAAGCCCTGGACTCCAAGCCACAGCTCAGGAGGTCATAGGCCCAGGCCTCCCAGACCAGGGAGGCAAGGGAAAGCAGAGTGCTTGCCTGTGGGGAGCTGGCAGTTTGCAGGCTTGAGACAAGCCCAGACAAACTCATTTTGTGAAGCCTCCTCTTATCGGACAATCAGCCTACTTATCAGGTGGGCAAAGAACAATTACTATTTAACACCAAAAATGTGTCAGGCTAACTCTGGAGTGAGTTTACTTGATTGCAACACCAGACAGACCATCCTGTGGGTGTCTCTCCACCCTACCCCCACCATTCCCTTCCCCCAGATTGCAGGTCCTGCTCCTGGCAGACTGTTCACATCTAGAAAGCCCACTGCCCTGAGTCAGCCCATAACTTTTTTTTTTTTCCTGTATCAGCCAAAATACACAGAATCTGTTTCTATTTGAAGCAGCCAATCAGATGGTTTTTGGCTACCCATAAAGGAAAGAAGAAATAATATTATGTAAACTTGAAAATCTAATCTCCTCTCAACCTCACACCCCACCCCCACCCCAATCAATCTGGTTGACAAGCTGTGCTGTGGCCGAGGAATTGGAAAATCACCTGGTGTCTCATTTCTACTAAGACTGAACACTTTTCTCCTTTTATATCTAATTTTTTCTCTAGTTTCTCTTCCCTGTTTTACCTCACTTGAATCCTTTTCAAATTCTACTAGGCAGGATCAAAGAAACCCAGCCAAGGCTAGCTGTAGGCTGTGGAGTTTGCTTTCATATGTGAGATTTTTGTCATAAGGCTCAAGTGGTCACATCCAAGGAGGAGACCCAAAAATAACTTGGAGAAAGATAGCATTGCTTAAACACACATATTGCTGCTGATCCTTCTTCCCTCAGCCCACAACCCCAAGCCCCTTATACACACACACACACACACACACACACACACACACACACATTTAGGAGATAAACAGTCAAGTTCTGGGGTTAAAGGGAAATAGCGTAGTCATGCCCTACTGTCTAGTGGTCTCTACCCTAAGCTCCTCTTGAGAGGAAACAAGAACCAGATATGCCTATAATCCCAGCTACTCAGAAGACTGAGGTAGGAGGCTCTCAAGTTCAAGGCCAGCCTGGGCTATTTAGCAAGACCCTGTCTCAAAATAAAAAATTAATAGGCTGGGGATGTAGCTCAGTGGTAGAATGCCTGACTGATTCAACCATAAAAGAAGGAGGAGGGAAAACATGGAGGAAATGAGAGCAGCCCTATCGCTCTGAAGCAGGCCTAGACTCTGCTAATCTCCTACTAGACATAAACAATCTCACAGAAAACCAACCTCAGCCAGGTCATGTGAGACAACCATAAGATGAGGCAAAGCAAGGTCAAGCTTTGCCCAAGCACAAAATTTGCCCAAGTTCACTGTATGTCTAATATCAAATACCAAATACCTCCTTTCTTGACTAAAATGAGTGACTGCTGAATCTTACCAAGGTCAGGAATGTTCTCCTGCCAGGGTCCCTCTTTCTGTACAAGCTTACAAACTTAGTTAGAAGCACACTCATAGACCTGCCCCTGCTTTCTGACAGCATGTGGTATGAAGCAAATCCTTCTTCCTAAAACCCTCCCCCAGTGACCCAGCTGGAGCCGAAAGCCCCCATAGGTTCTCTCCACCCCTTTTATTGACTCACTCTATGGCTCTCCCATGGGGCGTTGTCCTTTCTGCAATGGGTCAAGTTCCATTTTGTTTTCACAATAGAACTCTTGAACTTATTCTTCCTTTCTAATCAAAATTGTGTGTCCTTTAGCCAGATCTAATCCTATTTTATCTACAGTTGGGTTCCTAGGGAGTATTGGCTGAAGGGTACTGACTTTCTCTAAATAACTCCATCCGCCCTTATTTCCTGTATTTGTTGGTTTATTTATCTATCTGCTACTACGAAGTGGTTAAAAACATGAGCTTTGGAGCCAAAGACTTGGCTCTAAATCCCAGTGGTGCATGACTTTGACAAGTCGTTTCTTAACTTCATGGGGCCTGCTTCAGGAAATCAGGCCTACCCTCACAGTGTACTGGGAGGATTCAGTAAGATACGTAAAGTATGCATCAGAAAGGCTAACAGCCCAGAAGATATGCCTAACAGGAAGGTATAACATAAATCTGGCCTGAAGAATTCTGCTTGGCCCATAATCCATGGGAACACATCATGCTTCAATTTATTGAGATAAGCTTAATGACCAAATACATTGGTCCAAATTTACTTGCCATCAAACAATAGCTATGAGTAATAATGTTCCAGTAAAGCTCCTACTCAATAGTGGAAGAATGTAGTAAGGTCATCAAGATAAGGAATTTTAGTGAATACTTCTCAAGTTCTCTGTATTGTTTCTAGAATCTTAGCAACAGAATGAGATCTATCTCTCACTGCCCTCACAAGGAAATTCTATAATCTCTTTACATGGTGATATTCTTGGGGGGGGGGGGGTGCAATATTAGTGTCAAGAGAGACCTGAACTCAAACTTTACCTCCTTAAAATTTACCAATTTTGAGGAATTAACTTAAATCTGTTTTATCTTTGCAGCACATAAACATAGGGGTATGTATATGTGCATACATTATACACACACACACACACACACAAACACACACACACCTGTGTGGCTATTAGAAAGTTAAAATTTAAAAACACAGGGAAACTGATCTGTACTAAGCAATTATTATACTCCACCCTTTATCTACCTTTATTCCAAGCCCCCAAATTGCACACTTACACACATACCACACACACACACACTATATACATTCAAGGTTTGATATTTATTTGAATTCTCAACAACTGCCAATGGAACAATGAAGCCTTTACCTGTACAGGTGTGCTCCCTGAGGGTGGGACTTGTAAGCCGCTCCCTTGTGTATATCTTAGAGACCTAGCGGAACCTCTCAGCAGGTGTAAGATGGCTATCCATATACCAAAAGGGAATAAAAGAGGCAACAGTTTAAAATGTCTTGGTAAAAAAGAACTTAAGAATGTATCCAAAAATGCTCCATCTTGTGCATGTTAAGGGCTATTGACAGGGACTGTATTATGCATAAGAATACATAATACTACTCAATACATTTGAATGAAGCAGAAGTTTTGAGTCTGGCAGAAAAATGTTTTTAAGCTCCTTCAAGCGTCCATTCAGAGCATTTGGGGACTCCCAGGAAAACTATCCAATTGGGGCTTGGATGGAAGTGAGGAGGCTAAGGACAGAATTACTAGGGAAAGTCTAGAAATAACTTCAAAGATGAGAACTTACATGTATGTTTAAAAGTCCAGAAGTACCAAACCTCTGTAGGGGGTAGGACAGGGATATAGATTCAGGAAAACTATCTCAAGTGAAGAAGTAACCCAAATGGAGCCAATGTGGTGTTATGGTCTTGAAGCCAGAAGACCTGAGTCTGGCCTTGACTCTGCCATTTTTAAGCCATGGTATCTCTGGCAATGATCCACCTGTTCTGGACCTCCATTTTCTCATCTGCCCCTCTTAAGAGTCAGCAGCATTAATTAACAAAGTGTGTGTAAAAGCATTATAATCTATAAAGTGCCATAAAATAAATAAAGGCTAATGTAAGTGAGAAATAAAAATTGTAAAGTAACACACTCCTTGTGTTAGGTAGCTGTGATGCTCAAATAATATGCATCCATATAATCCTTAGCAATCATAGCAGGCGTAACTATCTCTACAGTATTCAAAGTGTTTGACCTCCGGATAGCAACTGAAAATGAAAACACGCAAGGATAGAAGTGGGAAGATGTTCCTTTTCTTTAAAGTCAAACTCTGCTGCCCAGCTGTGAAGTGAAAACAAGGAGGATGACACCCAGTGGCAAGCAGGTGGCTACAAGCCTCCAGCCAGCCACTGGGCCTTGAATGGCCAGAAATAGTCAAATGGCACAAAGGTGGCATGGAAGTCTTAAAAAATTACTTCTCATTGCAATAAATTTTTTAAGAAGTCAATGAAATGACTTGAATTATCTGGATCAAAGCATAACTGGGTGGCTTCCAACATTTTTTTAAATGCTAATGCCTTATTAATAAACAAAAAGCAGGGAACTTGTACATGTTATTAACTACATTCTGTTTCCATTTAGTAAAAAGAGTTCTCAAATATGAATCTTCAAATTCCCTTTACAGGGCTGGGCTTGTAGCTCAGTGGTAGAGTGCTTGCCTAGCATGTATGACACACTGGGTTTGATCCCAAGCACCACATAAAAATAAATAAATAAAATAAAGGTATTATGTCCATCTACAGCTAAAAAAAAGAAAACTTAAAAAAAAAATTCCACTCACATATCCCTGTCCTCCATTACCCTCCCCAACCATGTCCAGGGACCCACAGCCTCCAAATTGCAATCTGTTAATGCTTTCATAATTGTGAGTATTGGAACAGAGGCCATTTCTGCAGAAAACAAATGGAAGGTAAGGGAGAGGCTTACTCACTACAGAGTATCCCATTAGCAAATCTCCCAAGAATGACAGTCTTGTATAAGGATGGGTAGAAAATATGGAAACCATGAGCACTTTACTAAATTTAACTACAAAACTTTTACTCCCTGGGCTGAGTTAAAGGTAAACCAGGCTATCTATAAATGTCATGTCTATAAAATGTATTGCCCTTTCAAATTCCCCTCCCCGCTTGGGTGTTGACTCCCCGTCTTTCTTGGGCACTCCAAACCCTCCTATATTCCCTTTCCCTGCTGGGAAGATTTAAATATTATGAACACATATTGGCTGGCACCCACTCAGGTTAAAGTTTAACGGTGACGGTGCCATGTAATCAAGATGGATTGAAAGCCCCTGGAGTACAGTTGCATAATACTTGCTTCAGAACATACCTACATTATTTATATGTCCATTCATTCACCTAAGCAAACAAAATATTCTCACAGCTGTTCCAACCCACTAATAGAATGGTTTCTATTACCCTCCTTTGATTCTCTCCCCCGTAGTCCTGACTCCCTTCCCAGGAAGCTCAGTAGTATTGGTGGCTTCTCTCCCAAAAGACTGCTGTTGCCCAAGTCAGTGCCATGGCCCTACCATAATTCCAAATTAAAAGTTTCTCACACCCTGGACCCCTTGCTCTATATAACCAATCAGGTGCACCCCCAAAGCCAGACCTGTGTTCCCAATACCGATTATGGGAAAGGAAGAAGCATAAGAGGATGAGAACAAAAACCTGGAGAGACCCAAGGAGTGAGACAGACACACCGGCATGGAGCAGGCTACACAGGAGGTCGGTACACAAGCACAGGGCAGAGGAACAGAAGCAGGAAAGACAGTGGAGGGTTTTAATCCAATTGTTCTGTTTTAAGAATTATAGGTACTAAAATGGATATGTGTATGGCCTCAAATGACAGTCAAAAACAAGACTGAGCACCCAAAGCTTTTTCATATTTTACTAGAGAATTACTTCAGAGATGTATTATTAGTTAACATGTAATTTATAAACTGGTAATTCATACCCTACATGTACAAAATCATTTTACAAAAATGGTTTAAAAACTAGTAGATAATGTGTTCTCCTGGACTCTTCCTGGAAGGTGCATCTAGGGGGTGGGATCCACTGTGGAGTATTGGTGGCGGCCAGCACAGCTGTTGCAGCCAGTTCATCTGACACCATGTCCTCCTGCCACTTCTTCAATCTCAAGTTCACCACCTCTTGATTCTTCACCTTTTCTCTGTGGCCTTCTTCTCCCCTAGGATCCACCACTTTACAGGTGACCAAGCAGAATAAATGAATAACAGAAACACATCTCCGTACCTTTCTATATTGGATGAGAACAATTCTAGATCTCTGAGACATCAGAAATCTTATTTCCTATGGCCTTGTATCTCATAATACAACACTTTAAGCTTAAATAAATCTTCAACCAAAGTTCTCAGGTAGCCTCCACTATACTCTGAGACATTTTTGTACTTAATCCTTCAAGTATCTGTATTATAATATTTAACCTTCATGATCAAACAACTAAGAAAACTGTCTTGCTACAGTGGTTTTACATTCCACATCATTAGGAGCTCTGCGAAGAAAATACAAAAAGGAAAAAAATTCAGCCCAATATTTAGCTGCAACATGTTCTTGTTATGTGCTACTAAGAAAAGTCTCTAGGCCAAAATCATTAAAATCAAATAATCAGTTCTTTCAAATGTCACCAAAAGATGCAGGTCATGCACCAGCCCAGAAATCCACTGTGATGTTGATATATAAAGGATTGTATTCCACAGAGAGCAACTTATAAGAACAACTCGTCAACCCATCTGTTCTCCAAACTCGTGACACCTGGTGTAGGAGCTTCATCCTAAAGACAAGAACAAATGTGAATGATTAAAAAAAGAATTTAACATATGTCTCCATTGCTTTTTGCCTTGCCCCAAAATGTGGCAAAAGTATTCTTACAAATTACTGCACTTGTTGGGTTTCCTACTGCAAAACAACTTTGTCTTTCCCATTCAAAATAGGAGACAGCAATAATAGCCATGTATTCACTTGTCAGACCCCACATAGGACACTGAGAACCAAAGAGTTGCTGCCCTCAGTAAGCCCCAGTCTACAGGACAAAAGGATTTACAAAGACTACTAACACAACAGGATGTAGGTCACCCACTCCTAAAAGGTCTTTGGATGAGCTTCAGAGGATCCCTGAACCCTCCAACATTGTTGGGAAAGTTTTGTGTCTGTAGGTGGAGAAGGTACAGAGCTTTCCTATGTCTCCAAAAAAGGAAGGATATGAGTACAGGAGGATGAATGAATGAGCTCCTGAACTCAAATGGAAATCTGGGAAGGGGGGGTGTAGAGACTGCAAATTTCAGTCAGGCTTAAAAGAGGTGAGATTCACTAAAAAGGTAAGGAGAAGACACTCCAGGCAGAGTGACCACCTGGGTAAGGTGCACAGAAGCTCAAAAGAGCTGAGGAATGTGGGAGGAGTGGGCAGTGAATGGAATAATCGGTCTCTAGGAGTTTAGCAGTGAAAAGCAACAATAGGGACAGGGATTGAAATTAAGGGGGAAGAAACACAGTGTGATTTCATTTACAAAAAGTTGAAGAAGATGCAAAAGTGAACAACCATTTGTTCCCGAACATGAGAGAAAACAAAAACAAACAACAACAACAACAACAAAAAAAAAAAAAACAAGAAACAAAGCCAAAATAATTATCACGAACACAAATATTCAAAGAAGTGTCACCTGGGGCAGAGGTGGGTGTGAAGAGGGACGACATGGTTTTAGGGAGGCCACACAGGTCATGGGCATACATCAAGGGTAAGTATCAAGAATGTGCACACTTTTCAAATAATTTATAAGTATTATTTTGTAACTATTCAATAATTAATTTTTATAATGAAAAAAATTCACATCAATAGATAAAGACTGTAAAGACAGGAAAGTCAAAATAGCTAACTAGGTGACATTTGTTAAATGACAGATTTTAAAAGTGGGCAAGAAGCCCTTTAATACTATTCCAAAATCTAGGAGAAAAAATCTGAACAAAGAAATAAAAACTCCTCAATCAGAGCCACAAAAGGAATTGTCTTATTTGCCAGGATTCTTTGGTGAAAGGGCTAATTCCTAGGGCAGGAAAGAACAAAAATGAGGTTAGAATCTTTCACCTCCCCGGAATCCAGGGCAAAAAACTCTCAAAGACTGCCGTGATTCTGTCAAGAGGATTCAGGAGTCAGCTTGGAGAAGATCACACTGGACAAAGAGGAGACAACTTGAGTATCAAAAAGAACAATAATCTCATCCTGAAAGATGCCAGAGAACCATCTCATTATTCTGAAAAATGATAAATCAAGGCTTGGTTCGTTCCCTTTACTCTGCCTTCCCTATAAAACTGTACTCCAGCATACTTAAACAGATGAAGAAGGCAAGTCCTTCTCTGAAAAAAATTTAATAATTGAAGGAATAACAGAATTAAAGTGTTACAACCCCTGATTAAGTCACACATTTAGGCAACAGGCATCAGTGGTGCTGAAGCTCACTAGATGACAAACAGATGAGCAATCTCACAATTAGGGGACCAGGTTGACGATACCTGAACCCACAGATCAATCCTCCCATCATAAAAAGGAGGTAATACCATGGATAAAGTGTTCTTCCCCCAAACTAATATTCAGAATCAGTTCAAGTTTCCTGAAACCTAGAAAAATTCCCCACTTATAAGAAAATATACAGAGGTCACAGGAACATATTAAATTATATCACCAGAATGCAACTGGCAAAACCCACAATGTAGAAAATTCTACCGGAAAAAATGACCTTGTATGATAAACAAATAAATTATAAATTGTAAGGTATTAAGAGAAGGAGGAGGAGGAGGAGAGGGAGGAGAAGAGGGGGAGAGAGAACCTCTGGATTTAAAAAAAAAACATCCAAATGCAATGTGGACCTTGTCTAGATATTGAACTGAACAAATCAATTGTTTTTTAAGTATTTATAAAATAATCAGAGAAATCTGAGAACAGATTGGCATTTGATGATACTAAGGAAGTACTGTTCCTTTTATTTTAGGTGTGATAATGGTCTTATAGTTCTTTAAAAAACAACTCTTTATATTTTGAGAATGTACAATGAAGTATTTACACCTAAGAGGCTATAACACCTGTAAATTTGTTTCTAAAGAACCCCAAAGGAGGAGGAAACAGAGGGGGACGAGCTGAGGCCATGAATTGACAACTGTCAAAGTGAGGATACCATGTACTCTTCTCCTGACTTTTGTTTTTGTCTGAAATTTTGGTTAATAAAAAGCCTTTAACAAAATTAACTGGCTTATCTGATCCAATTCAGCACAGTCCTACTGACAGGGACTGGGTCAGCAGGTCGCCAGGCACGTGAATCTAGGGCTTACCGTTCCACATTCACCTCGTTGCCCTGGTCTCTAGTGTGGAAGATCATCGTGTATTTACCCACTTCAGGCTTTGGCCGTAGTATTTTCATTTTATGGAGCTCAACCCTAGAAAAATAACAGAGGAGATTTAAAAAAAAAAAAAAAAATCTATCCCATTTATCAACCACAGAGCACTTAAAAAAAAAAAATCACCTGTGAAAATTCACATGAACAGCGTGATTGGGCATCAAAAAAAAAAAAAAAGGCATAACACTTAAAATATTTCAGAGTTTCTTATAATAGTGGACCCTCATGCAATAAGCCCATGAAATAATGACACGGAACATTCACTACTGGGCACACAGGAAATGTATCAATTTACAGTTAATCATTAAAAAACAACAAACAAACAAAAACTATTTATTAAATAAATAGGGACCTGAAGAATAGAATCAAGTCTATCTTAGGATCCCTAATTAGTGTTACCTTGTTTTAACCAAGAAAGGAATGACTGTTAAAGCCACAAACCTAGGTTCAAATCTAGACCCTTTTATGTATAACCCCAGTAAGTCAGTTGACTGTTCCAGGTCTCAGCTTCATCATCTGTAAAATGATAGCCTCTCTATGGAGTTGATTTGAAAGACTCACATAATGTAATTCATATGGAACATGAGCTGCAAACTATAATGTTCATGTAAGAGCAAGAAACGGTGGTGCTAAATAATTAGTAAATAATTCTCAACCCGAAGCACCAGGCACAGTAGCATATGTCTATAGACCCTGGGGCTTCAGGGTCCCGAGCTCAGGAGTTTGAAATCAGCCTGGGCAATAGAGTGAGACCCTCTCTCAGAACAAACAAAAACTCAACCAAGTTTTATGTTCAAGTCATTTTGGTTTATGCACAGCATTAGTTGAGAATCATTCTGAAAGCCATGATATTTTTTTCTTATTGAATGAAACCAAAACTTTGGGCTCCCCTCTACCTTGAAGCTGAGGAACAGCAGGAAAAGAGGCAGTGAGGGTATATAACCAGCTGGGCAGTAAAATGGATTTGGGGGAAAAATGGGTACTGGTTACCTCTAGCCCTTGCTTCTCTTGCCCTGAAATCTAGCAGGCACCCCCGTCCAGGTCATAAGCCATGATCACACACTTGCCCATGGGTAGGGCCACAGAGCCATCAGTCAGGGAATCTACCCCCGCTGCCAAAAACACACCAGAGGCCTTCAGCCTAGATATGGGAACAAGGCCAGCATGCAGACTCCAGCTTTTTCATATCAAAGCAATGGAAAATTTCTGATAGTCACACATCTATTAATTCAGAACCTCAGCTTAGAAATTTCCTTTCCAAGAGGCAACAGCAGGAGGGAAGGGGTCTCCTATCAGCCAGCAAGGTCCCATGATTATAAGTCTAATATACTGGCTGCAGGCTCTTTAATAATTACTGATTTCTAGGAGGCAGGGAAACTTCTAACCATCAGGCCACAAAACCCAAGGTGAGAGAGGAGTCTAGACACCCTGAGCATATTCCCTATGAGCCCCCTAGAGCAGAAAGTGGTCTGAGGGAATCTGAGGGTAATTCCAACAGCCTGGAATCAATCCTGCAAGCCAGTCCATCAGCAGTCCCTGCAGCATGCAGGAGAGGAAAGACATTCCTACCTACTACAGAGAGCAGGGTTCCTCAGAGGCTACTGATACTCTCTGCTCTGCACACTGAGAACTGTGCCAGGCTCCCCTGAGGTCTGAGAAAAAGCACAAGGCTTATAACAGGCCCTTCTCTACACTGCAGACTGCAAGTGTCGTACCCCTCATTCACTGTTGCAACCATTGATGAGGACTCAAAGCCCTCCACCAATATTTCTACAGCCCAAACAGGAATAAACCATCTTCCTTCACTTCTAAGATGCCCCTGGCAAAAAGCTTGGATTATCCTGCCCTCCCTCCGTGCTCTGTCAACCCTTAAGTGCAAATCTGCAGCCTCTTGCCCTTCTGGACTGGCATCTGTAGGAACTAAACATAAATGCAGACTTCCAGAGCCACCACTGATAGCAGAGCCCCTTGAAGGGGACCTTTCTCTGTTGTTCACCTGAGTCTGAGGTCATCGTCTTCGCCTCCCCATCCCCAGTAGTTGTTAGAGAATCCATTCACCTTGAAAAATTGCTGTCTGCTTAGGGCAGTAACACCCCCAAAATATCCACTGTAACGTAACCTGGAGTAAAAGAGAAGATAAAAGGTAAGAACATTAGTACAAAGCCCTTTTATTTCCCACAGATGCTTCAGAGGTCTTTGATTTCAGGGTGGGCCTTCTAGGAACACTCAGGTCCCACCCACTCCTGCTTGATGTCCACCGCCCAGCCTCCTGGCCTTCTATCATGCCTTCATTCCTCTGTCTAGACATGTGCTCACCTCTGCTCACTAAGCAAAGTGCCACCCACCAGTTATTCATACCTTTGTGTACAGAGCTCTGTAGAGATACCTAAATGTGCACCATAACATCAGATCTAGACAACAGATTTCATCTCATGCAATAACCCAGCAAACAATAATGGCTGCTAAGGGAACTCAGTTAAGAAGGATTCTGATGTTACATCCAGGCTCAGCATGAATGAGTGTCAGGATTTGGGGGGGGGGGGGCGGAATATATATAAATTTTACTTTTACTCTTTCAGGGGACAAGTGGAGAGCAAAAGACATTGTGTACCCACACGCTGTATGTACATACTCTGCAAATCTCCAACTCAGAGTCTGCTTCCTAGAGAACCCAACATACCCTGCTACCATCCCTAAAGTTTCTGGCTTGGGCAACTAGGTAGAAGATAACTGCCTTTTATGAAAATAGGGCACACAGAATGACAATTTGGCTTTGAGAGGAAGAGAGAAAATTATGTATTGGACAAATAGAAGTTGAGATAGCCCTGGAGCTTTTGCCAGTAGGCAAGGATACAGGGTAGAAGCTCACAAGAGAGCAGGTGGCTACAGTTTTGCTTTAGAAATAAGCTAGCAGCAGGTAGTGCTTGAGACAGAGGATCACCCAAAGACAAAGCAGTGTTGGGAAGAGCTTGAAGGGTGGAACTGCGGGCTGTGAACTCTGAAGAACCATTGGGAATACTGACAAGTAAAAGGCAAAGAGAGAAAACCCAGGAAGGAGACCAGAAGACAACAGTCAGTGAGCACCTTCCAGTCATGTAGGACTCATGTCTTATCAGTGGACAAATTAGCAAATCTGAGAATAAAAATAACCATTAAGTATAACACTGTAACAAGTCAGAGAGGCAAATGAAGGCAACTCAGTAACTTGGCCATCCCTGAATAAAAAGATAAAACATGAAGGATTTCTAATTAATTCACTTCAATTCAAAAGTTCCAGGATCAAATAAATATTGATGTTTTTCCAGATAAGAAGAAAAGCCAAAAGGGGAAAAAAAAACAATAAATACATAGACACTTGCCATCTAAAGTCTGGTATCAGAAAGCTAGTTTGCAGCTCACTTGTTTGTTTCTATGTTCTGCATACAGATGGAACCCTGCTTAGCTCATGATAAGAACAGACTCCAACCTAAAATTCTGGGAAATGGCATTTTTGCAACCTAAAATAAACAAAAGGAAATGAAGGGCTAAGAAGGTGGCTGTTATTGACACTTACTAGCATTGACTATAGCCATGGTTATCAGACTCTGTCTGGCTGAGAAGGGGTTCTTAACTACTTGAAGCCGGCAGCTTCATCAGGACCCTGTTAGTAGAACCACCACCCAGGCATAACCTGCCAGGCACCAAGAAGCAAACCGGCATTGATGCTTTGGAAGGAATCTGTCACAACCACGGTCTACCACGTGCAAGGTGGTTGGTTAAGCATGGTGATACATTAGCCCTCCAAGAGTTTATAATCCAGCAAGAGAGGTGAGTGTGACAAGGGTTTTGAGAAAGAGTTACTACTACATTAGAAAGATTCAGACAGAAAAAAATAGGGGATGTCCTGGTGGCCAGAACTCCCTGAGGAAAGCACAGGAGGGAGAAGCACAGTTTCCTGAGGTCCACCTGAGACAAGCTTAGGTGGAGTGGGGAAGAGCAGAAGGAGACGGGGGAGAAAGGGTAAGGATCTCTTGGTTTTGCAGTTTCCTGTTAAAGTGGCAACTGTCTCCATGTTTATTGATCTTTGCTTTTGTTTTTTCTTCTTATATGAAAAAGTATAAATATTTAATTGAGGCTACAACAGGCTTATGTATTTTTAAAGGGCTATAAAGGCCCAGGGTGAGGAAAATGTAGCCATAAAATAACAGTAGAGTCCTTATAGATAGCAGGCAGGTGCCAAAGGAATACTTGGCAGTAAAATTTGCCAAAGGCTAGTCCAAGGTTTATTTCTGGCTTGATCAGATTCTGTGACACTTGGGGCAAGTTACCTTAACTTCTTCCCTTTGCATGGGTGCAAGGGAAGCCACTTCTATATGCTTACCAGGCTGTTAGAACGGTTAAGTATGTAATTTAAGCTCTGTGGTGCAGTGACACACACTTCCCAACAGGGGGCAGACACTTGGTTGCCTGCAGCCAGACTTGCCAGGCATCAGTGAGTGGGATATTCCCCAGGATAGCAAAGGTTAGGTAGAGGGGAAGGAGTAACCTCCTATACTGCTTCCTATACCTCTCCCTAACCACAAAAATGAAGTACTTCACATGATACAATAAGAAAAAAATCTAAATGACAAACTAGAACCAGAGAAGAAACTAAATCAGAATAGAAGATTAAGATAAGAAACACAGGACTGAGGATATAGCTCAGGGTAGAGAATTTGCCTAGCATGTGAGAGGCCCAGCACCACACCCACAGGAAATACGTCAGAACTTTGACCTGCAAATAAAATTTTTATTTTCTAAAAGAGGGCTAAGATTTGTCTCAGAGCTTCTTGCATCCAGACCAAATGGGGGACACATTCAATTACCTGATTTACATTAAGAAAACCTGTCAGTTATAGGGAAACAAAGGTTTTCTGATTTAAAAAAAAAAAAAAGTCTGGCCAGGTACAATAGCAAGTTAAACAACAAGAGTCACACACTGGACTTTGTCTTAGAGTATGTAGCATCTGATGGAATCCATGATAAGTCAACCTCAGTTCCCAGCAGGATTGCTCAAGAACTCAGCTTCTTTAATGTTCAGCTTAATACAAAAACACAATTTAGAATCCCAATCCAAGGCTCCTCTGTTAGGGTTTGGATATGAGGTGTCCCCCAAAAGCTCCTGTTAATGCAAGAATATTCAAAGGTGAAATGATTAAATTGTGAGAGCTATAACCTAGTTTGAATGGACTGTCTGGGTGGTAACTCTAAGCAGGTGGGACACGGCTAGAGGAAGTGGGTCTCTAGAGCCAAGCCCTGGAAGGGTGCAGATTCCCTGTGGCTCCTTCTCTCCTCTCTGGCTCTCTGCTTCCTGACCCTATTCCCCTGATCCTCCATGAGCACAGCAGCTTTCCTCCACTGGGCCCTTCCCATATGTTGTGCTGCCTCACCTTGGAACCAGAACAATGGAGTCAGTTGTCTATGAACTGAAACCATAAGCCCCAAATACATTTTTTTCTCCTTTAAGTTGTCCTTTGCAGGTGTTTTAGTCACAGTGATAAAAAGACTAACTAAAAAACTATCCTTAAACAATCCTGTGATTGTTCAGGAAAAAACTGGGTGATGGAAAGTTTAAGGTTATCATCTCTGGCAATTGTCTGGGGTAAGATCTTCAGTATTTAAGCAGCAATATCACATTAATTCTACATAATAAGTGAACAGATGGTGACATGCTTCTGGGGTGAGGGGGAGGCCCAGCTATGACATGCTGCTTTTCTTCAAAGCAAAACAAAACTTTTATATACTAAGATTCAGAAATAAAGATCAAGTTCCTCAAAAGAGAAAAATCTTGTGATTCTCTCCCTGCACTCTGGCCCTGCTGCCCCTACCCCATATGGCACATGGCACCTCTTCCCTAGTGTCTTCCCTCCTGCCTTGCTCCAACCAAAACATTAAAGACCAGTTGAACTGAGCGACTTCCTGTCATTCCTCAGCTGTAACCATATTTCAACAGCTCCCCCACTGCTTCCACAGGAAATTCAAATTTCTTATCAGACTAAGCAAGGCCTACATCTCTTGCCTCTCCTCCTAGTCATTCATTCTAGAATACTAGCAAACTCCTGGCATTTCCTCCAATGCTGGACCATGCTCTCTGCTCTCTGGCATGTCTGGAACCCTGCTGGAAGCGCCTATTGATTCTACCAGATTCATGGGCCACAGTCCTGGGAAAAGCTTAAGACCCTTCCTTGGGTTCTTAAAAACACTGTGCTCTCACTCTAGGTATTGTTTCTATCCCAGGGATTAGCTAACACAGGGATTGGGCAAGGTCAGCTATGGTCACCATTACTAAAGATTGCTCTTAAGTGGTCCAAAGTAAGAGAGCTCGGCTGGAAAAACAACATGGAAGCCAAAACCGAATGAGGCATCAGGAGATCCATTTTCCACTTCACACTCACTCCCATCAGGGCTGGAGCAGCGTGTATACAATTAAGTAAGCACAGGGTTTCATTTGTAGAGAAATTTTCTTGGTTACTGTTGCCCCTGGTTGGGCTTGAATAGGAGCTGGTATAAAATAAGGTTGAAAAGCAGCTCCACCCCTTCTGGGGAGGGATGAAGAGATGTAGCACCTCGCTACATCTTCCCATAGTGGCTTTGAGAGAAAGGAACTTGTTCTAGGTGTCCTGGGCTCAGCCTCAGTGGATATGCCTTTTCCCACCTTTCCTCAGAAGTCTAGAAAGTAGCAGCAGCTTGGAAAGAGATGTCCTGTCTCACAAAGAGACCTCAGAGCTGGCCTAAGGGTCACCATCCTGCTGCCTCCTAAAGGGAGAAGTCAGGGATTAACGGATAAACTGCCAGAGGACATAAACTCATGGGGAACAGCTTTTAAGGTCCCACTGGGGTGAGCTGCCACCATTTGCAGCACTTATATTATATTCTCTCCTGCACTGTCCCTCTTGTCTCTGTGATCCTCTGTCAAGGTTGTTATTGGATTTTTTTTCCTTATTCTGATTCCCATTTTGTACTTTAGAGGAAAATGGACCATTTTTTCCTATTTCTTGTCTTCCGATGATGGTCAGATGCTGTGTTCCACACAACCTTAACTACCACGGGGCAAGACTCAACCTCAGCGATCCACAGGCAGAGCCACCTACCTGTACCCAGTGCTGTTCCTGCCAACCACCAGATGCTTGGGCTGATCCTCACACATGTAAAGGTTATAGTCATTCTCAGGCACCAGGTCCACATCATGAAAGATAAAGCAGTCCCAGTTTTCTTCCTTGAGAGCTTCTAAATAGCCCACATTCAAGAGTTTGGCTCGATTAAACTTTTTAGTTCCAGCCTATAAATAAGGGATATTAAAACATGAAAATCTCCTGGAATAAGGTTTCCTATTGTTCCCCTCTCCCGCTCCAATTCAGGAGTTGGTATTTTTCTTGTTAACACACAAAACTATACTTGTAACATTAAGATCTGACAGAATAAATGTGATGACAATAAAGGACCACTGTTTTTTTTTTTTTTTTTTATGTTTCACACATACTCGTATTCTGTAGCTTAAAAACACTCTGAAAAGTTGTCCATGGTGGCACAGAGCTTCAGTCTAGCAGTGAAGAGTTCTGGAGATGGGCTGCCTGCACAATAGTGAATATTCCTAACACCAATGAACAGCCTCCTTAAAATGGATGAGAGGGCAAGAATAAATAAAAGTGAAAAGAAATGGCTGACATGGTAAATCTTATATGTTTTGTCACAAGGAAAATTCTTTAATATAGTTTCAAAATATAAATAATTCAAATAATAATGTATTGTACATCTAAAATTTATTAAAGGAATAGTCTTGTGTTAAGTGTTCTTATTACAATAAAATACTTTTAAAAACTTAAAATTCTCAAAAATATTTTTATTTATTCCATTTAAAACTACAAAACCTCAGACAGACTAGTCACGCTAATTAAAGGCTAAAGGATATAAAAACATAAAAAGCTCCTAGTTACTGCTTCACTGTTAACTCTTGGCTGATCCCAATCTTACCCACTATGAGGAATCAACACTAAGCTTCCAAGAGATTTAGCTAATAGCTTGCCAGAAAGGATCAAGAAGTCAGGACCTATAAACTGAAAAGGTTACTGCAAATATTTCTAATCTATTTAAAAGTTTCTTGGAATTACTATATGAAAATCCTGTTTTAATACTAATGACAGAGGCTAATCTTCATGGTGAGTGGCCTTATAGAAAGAGAGTCAAGATTTGTCACTAAGTAAAAAGTTTGACCTTTGGTAAGATCACCAAAGCTATGGTATGAAATATTAACAGTTAATATTAACTATTAATATTTCAGTATTAACTTTTTTGCAGTATTAACTTTTTCACAGCTAATTGGATCAAATATATTCTAATTTGATAAATAGTTTATCACAAAATAAGTGCCAGCCATTCTCGGAAGTTCCCAGAGCATTTTCCTGAAAACAATTATACAAATCAAACGTGTTTTCATTCATAAAAATAATGTTACACCTCTTGGCTGCCATCCTAAGAACTCAGAATTAAATAAATTAGTTTTGGCCAAAAATGTTAAGAATAAAAATAATTTTAAAAGAAAACAATTGTAAAAGTTTGGTTAAAGTCCTTAAACATGTACATGGATGTACTAAAGAAGCACACTAACCTTCTAGAGCTCCAGTTGTTATCACAAAGAATACAGTGCACAGCTAATTCTCTGAGCTATCAAAAGTTCTAACTCAAACAAATATCACCAGCTGCAACCAATATTAAGTAAGTTGCTAATGATTTTGCATGCATTCTTAGATTTTGTAAGGGTTTGAAGGAGCATCATTTGGATAGCCCAGGATTGATTCTAAAAAGCATAAACATGGATGTTTAAACTGATATTTTATTTTCTTTTACGAAATTTTAATATCATACAGGCATCTTAAATCAATCACTCCACTGATCTCAGAGGTAAACTCTTTAAAAGTAGCCCACAGTTACATGTTTTTCCTGCTAAATGATGCTTCTTGAAGCCAAATACGTAAGTCAAGAATTTTGAAATTAAACATATGTGTCTGACAAAATAAATAGTGGCAAAGTAAAAAACAAAAATGTGAAGAGTCACAGAACTGAGGGCTATTTACATGTGGCACTCTATCAAAGTTCTCTGTCTAGATCTCCACTGAATAGCCACACTTAATAATGGAAAGTCGAGCATCTCATCATGTAGTATATAACAAATGCAGAAGGAAACATCATGAAGGACCAGTAAGCCTCAGGGAAATCTTAGGGTAGGTGTTGGCTAAATAGGAAGAGCTCACAAGAACAGGCTTCATCCAGAGGTTCATTTTAGGGCAGTAAAATATCCCAGAATGTGGTCTCCAATTCTTGGGATAAGAATTTCCTCTATTGCTTTCAAGAAGATGTGAAGTAAGAGAACTCTCCTTTGATAATAGTTTGATGACAGTTTACCCAAGACAGTCAATGGGATCAAATGGCCAAAGCCCTTAGATGGGGGAGAAGCCCACAGGCAGGGCCTGGGGCAGGCACACACCACCCCACTCACCTGGTGGATGATGTAGATGCCATACTCCAGCTGCTGCCTCTGCAGGAAGGGATGAAGGTGTTCCAACAGGTACATCAGGTGCTTCTCTCGGTTCCGGTGGGGAATGAGGATAGCGACCCGCTGAAGAGCTTTACACTCCTCAGGGCGATACCGGCCTCTGTGCACCTTGGGGTTTTTAGCCTGTACTTCTTCTAAAGTGAGATCTGGTTTGAAAATAAGCTTGCTCTGGCCTCCTACAATAAACACAGGACACAGATCATAACAGAAGCTACCTCACAAAGTGCCAAAAGGCTTACATGAGATAACACAGGAGAATAGCTCAGGCTGCTGCCTGGCGCCCAGTGAGCACTCTGAGTATTCACTCATACTAGTACAATTTTAAAGTCTCGAATATTCAATCAAGAACTATAACCACAGAATCACGGGACAAGAAGAACTGGCTACAAATGCTCATCAATTCTGCTCTATGATCCACTGAAAGTAGGAAATGGAGACTGTGCTGGTGACCCAAGTGATGAGCAAAGGGTTGAGCTACAGTGAGTGACTCTTCAAATATGCTCTATCTTCTTCTCCTTTTCAAAATTCCAGAAGGAAGGTGAAATCTCTTGAAAATCAAGAGCATTACACAAAATCAAGCCCCTGGACAAAGCCTTATGTCCACTTCTTGCCTAAACCCCCTGAAGGCAGAGCACTGGAAAGAAGTAGAAAGCAACCCCTCCTCCAGGCCCAGTGGTGACTGGTATATGCCACACTGCAACAATCCTCCGTCTGTGCCACCAGAGCAGACGTTTCCAATCAAGCACAGCATTTGTTCAGTGAGTCTAGAAACGACTTGATCAGATGAAACCTAAGGCCATCCATGGTAACCAATTCTGTGCCAGTTTTCAAATATCAGGCTGAGGTGGCCAACTCTCCTCATTTGACCTGAATTAACAAGATCTATATACAGACTGGTAAGAGAGGAGGCAGAGTTCTACTTAGGGAACTGTGATAAGGTCCACTTGCAGAGCCACCTTTAAAACAACAACAAAAACAAAAACAATCCACATATACTGGTCAGACTGTAAAACCTCAAGAAATTTGAAAGTTGTACCATCTCTCTCTGAGCAAAGCAGTCACTGGCCCTTCCTATGTCTCAGTCACCATGCCTTGCTGCTCTGACTATCCCCGATGTTGGTCATGATGGTTAGGTCAGGCTCCACTATCTAACAGTGCCTTAGGGTTCTACCCAACAGCACTCAGATAAGTAATAGACTCAAGACAACCAAAAGAATTTCTGACCCACAAGAACCTTCCTGAAGAGTCTGTATATGAGACAAAGAGTCAGCAGTCAGTCACACCCTAAAAGTAAATAATAAGCAGCAGAGTTACATGAGACACACTATAGGAGCTGCCCACAGCTACTGAGCTGCCCAGGGTTGAAGGGGTGGCCACTGAAATGGCTTCCCATGTGGCCTGTTAATAAACCCCATCATTACCTCACCATGCCTCTGTTCTTGCACCTTAAAAGAGCTTCATGTGGCTGGCTTGATGTCACTGGTCCCTTGATGTCACTTGCTCACCTTCTCACTGTGTAACTTTCATGTGCCCTAACCTTTCAGTATCCACTTTCACTTAGTCCCTCTCGGTTTCCCTACCAGTTCCCCAGAGCATCTTCTTCAGTTCTCTCCTTTCCTAGGTTGCAAAGGGACCATTTTAAGACATTGCTGTTTATGTCACCCTCTTAATCCAGTACTTGTTCCATTTGTGTCAATGCTCATCTCTTCTTTATGTAAGACTTTACTGCTTAAATACATTGAGTAGATTCATATTTTAGTAATTCATTTTCATATCTCAGTCTGTGTAATTTGTAAATGGAACATACATCAAGAATAACACTTTGGGGGCTGGGGCCTTGGCTCAATGATAGAGCACTTGCCTCGCATGATGAGGCCCTGGGTTCGATCCTTAGCACCACATAAAGATAAATGAATAGGGGGCTGGGGTTGTGGCTCAGTGGCAGAGCACTTGCCTAGCATGTGCAAGGCCCTGGGTTCAATCTTCAGCACCACATAAAAATAAATAAAATAAAGGTATTATGCCAAACTACAACTAAAAAATAAATATTGGGGCTGGGGATGTGGCTCAAGCGGTACGCGCTCGCCTGGCATGCGTGCGGCCCAGGTTTGATCCTCAGCACCACATACAAACAAAGATGTTGTGTACGCCGAGAACTAAAAAATAAATATTAAAAAAAAAATTCTCTCTCTCTCTCTAAAAATAAATAAATATTTTAAAATATATATATGAGTAAATAAATAGGGCTAGGGATATAGCTCAGTTGGTTGAGTATTTGTTTGCCTAGCATGCACAAGGCCCTGGTTCAATCCCCAGCACCACTACCAAAAATAAATAAATTAATTAATTAATAAAATAAAGGCACTGTGTCCATCTACAACTAAAAAATATATATTAAAAAAAAATGACAACACGTTGGTTTTTTCCATGACTAAAGGGAAGTAACAAATCAATCTGAATACAAGACAGTGATTCAATTGAAATGAAGATGGAGGGACTGAATACCTGTCTCCCCTCTTAAGTTCATGTGTTGAAGACTTAATCCCCAATGTGATGGTATTTGGAGGTGAAGCCTCTAAGAGGCAACTAGGTTCAGATGAGGTCATAAGAATGTAGCCTCCTTGTTGGAATTAATACCATTCTGAAAAGAACAGGAAATCTGGATCTCAATCTGTGTATAGTGTGTGTGTGCATCCACTTGTGTGTGTGTGTGTGTGTGTGCGCGCATGCATTTGCAGACCAATGAAAGGCCATGCAAGAACATAATCAGAAGACCACCCTCACTAAGAATCAACTGTGCTAGACCCTAATACTGAACTTCCAAAAAGCCTCCAGAACTGTGAAAATTAAATTCATGGGATTTTGTTACAGCAACCCAAGCACACAGACTAAGACAGAGGGTCTGACACTTTTTTTTTTTTCTTTTTAAATACCAGGGATTGAACCCAGGGTCACTTTACCACTGAGCCATTTCCTCAGCCCTATCTATCTATTTATTTATTTATTTTTACATATATTTTTTGTAGTTGTAGATGGATAGAATACCTTTATTTTATTTATTTATCTGTTTTTTATGTGGTGCTGAGGATCAAACCCAGGGCCTTACAGGTGCTAGGCAAACACTCTAACCACTGAGCTACAACCCCAGCCCTCAGCCCTTTTTTAAAGTATATTTTATTTAGAGAGAGGTTCTCACTAAATTGCTTAGGGCCTCGACAAGTTTCTGAGGCTGGCTTTGAACTCATGATCCTCTGCCTCAGCCCCCCAAGCTGCTGGGATCACAGGTGCCCACGGGTCCTCTGCAGGCTCATTTGCAGCTAAGAACAATGAGACCCTAAGAGCCCTAGGCCACCCCACAGAGAGTTCTTTAAATATATGTACAGAGTCAGAACCACACCACAGGCCAGGGAGGGAACTGGACTGCAGAAATATAAAGGATCACTGGGACTACATCCTGCTGGCTCACCACAGAACAACAAGCACAAGCACAATGGGGCACACAGGGACATAAGAGTAGCTCTGGCTAGGACAGTCCCAGAAGTCTTTGTGGAACAGGAGAAATCTAAACTGGATTTCTGATGGCTAAATAGGAATCTACCAGGCAGACAAGGATGGAGGAAAGGCATTTTCAAAAAAGAACACAATACAAGTAAAGGTTCAGAGGAAGTGTCTGGAGAACTCGAAGCACTTTGAAGGTCTGTAGGATGAAGACATGTGAGAAATATCACTGAGTGAGGTTTTTTCCTCTCAAATTTATTGTGTTCACTAAAACCAATTTACTATGCATTTAAGTTGAAAGTCAAGACATCAAAGGGAAATCAAAACACACATGACATTTAAGAATAAACACTAAGGATAACATTGAAAAACTTATTTCCTGCTCCTAGGCTCCATAACTTTTGGGTCAAAAAGATGTGACACCATAGAGGCGCGAGTGTGCCTGCATTTCTTCACTTACTCATCTGTGAGAAGAACATGCCCAGGCTAGCCCACTGGTCTCAGGAGAAGGATGAAAGACCCATGGAGCCACGCCACCGCCCAAATCAACGAACTGTATTATTATATGCAACTGAGACTTTTGTGGCCGGAAAATAAAATAGGGTATGTTCACATAATGGAATACCACACATCAGTGAGAATGAACAAACTATAACCACAAACACCCATGTAAAAAGATCTTACAAAAATTATGTTAAGCAACAGAAGTCAAACACAAAAGAGTACACATAATGTAGCACCTCAATTTGTAAAGTTCAAAAACAGGAAAAATATCATGAATAGTGTTAGAATCTTGAAGCAAGTTAGTGATTGAAAAAAGCATGGAAACTTTTGGGAATTCTAAGAAGATTCCATTTCTTCAACTAGGAGTGGTAGTATATGCCTATAATCCCAACTACTCAAGAAGCTGAGGCAGGAGAACTGTAAGTTTGAGGCCAGCCTGGACAATTAAGCAAAGTCCTGTCACAAAATAAGATTTGTAAAAAGGGCTGGGGGTAGGTCAGAGGCAGAGCACCCCTGGGTTCATTCACCAGTGATAAGGAACAGATAAGTGCAATTGATGGGAACATGAGGTTAAGGGAATAATTCTATAAAATGGGCCCACTGTACTGACCTCCACATGCTTTCTTTTCCAAGAAACCTGCAGCCCTGCCTGGCTTAAGTAGACAGGATATGTCACATTCCTCAGCAAACTACCTGGTATCTGCAGGAGAAATGCAGGCCTGAAATAATGTTGATAAGAGGTATCCAAGTTACCCAGAAGGGGGAGATTTTTATGACCCTTTTCTTAGAAAAATTTATGGTTAAGAATCCAATTAGAACTAATCAGTATGGGTCAAGGTGACCTAGAGTTGTCATGGCAGTGGGGACTTAAAAGTCTGATATTATCCTGCTGACAGTCAAAAATCAAGAGGCAAAAAAAGAAACCTAATTTCAGAAGCAAAAAAAAAAAAAAAAAAAAAAAAAATCAAGAGGCAGACCCAAGCAGGAAGCTTCTCTGGGATCCCCAATAAAACTAGAGTGCAGGGGAGGCCCACTGTCCCTCTCCTCTCTGAGAGGACCCACTCTCTCCCTTGAAAGTGTCTCCTATCCCTTTTCCTATCCCTTCAATAAACTCATGCCTGTTACTCTGAGTGACATGTCTGAAATCTTTCTGACTTGATTGCAAGGATTGGGGTTGGGGCTGGGGTGTGTATTCATACTGCCTCAATTTCCTGGAAGGCCCAAACCTGTAACATTAGTATCAAGAAAGAAAAAAAGATTCAATTTATTAACTTACATGCAGGTTACAGAGGTATCTTCATTTTGTGAAACTTAACCAAGTACACATCTGTTCTTATACTTTTCTATATATCCTTTGGAGCTAAAATAAAAATTTTACAAAGTACTTGTAAAAACGAAAAAAAGGAAACACTTACTGAGGTCTGGAGATATATAAGGACAGTTGTCAAGTTCTGCTTTTTTCATGGAGGCTTCATTAGTCAGAGTTTCTTCCTTCCCCAAAGCTATGGCCTTAAAATTAGCCATGAAATCCTTTGCTTTGGGAATCTCTTGAATAGCACCCACAAAGTAGTTACTGGTGGCCCATCCAACCACCGTCAGGCATAAGGTAAAAAGCAACAGTAACCGTAACTTGTAGGAAAGGTGGAAATGCAGGTTGAAGCCCATGTCTTTAATTTTATGAGTGATATGTATCTTTCTGCTTTGATCCAGTTGAGGAAGCTTCAAGTGAAATTTTTCCGATCTGACTGCAAACTAAGGACAACAAAAGATGCAATGGCTGCTTCTGCCCATTAGTTCTGCTCCAATGATCTCTAAAAGGCAATCACAAAAGACATGTTGCTTTGAATGGAAATCCCATCCTGAAATGATTCACTTCAGCACAAACTAAACCCATCCCCAATGGACCTTGACTACAGTATCAGATTTTAGAGATAGAAGGCTTCAAACATCTAGACATTACTGGATTATTGCCCAGGCTGTCACCCAAGAAGAGAAGCCACATCCAGATGTTATACAGAACAAAATGGTAAAAGACAGAAGGGGGAATGGCATCATTTCTGAGCTGGGGACAGCCTAAATTACAGCCCAAGTGGCTCTCTTCCTTAGTTGCTCCTTCCTGGCACAGCCTTTAGGGTTCACAAAATGTAAAAACTTGTATGGAAACATATTTGGACCCTGTTAGATCTCCCAAAGTCTCGTGTGTTGAAGGCTTGATCCCCAGTGTTCAGAGGTGTGGCCTCTGGGAATTTCTCTAAACACAATGTTATAAATGGACCTCTAATCTCATCGGTAGATGAAATGGATCAATGGATTCATATTCGATGACATTATTGGGTGATGGTAGAAACCTTGGGAGGTGGGGTCAGGTTGGAGGAGATGGGTCACTGGGGGCATGCCCTAAAACGCTATATCTTGTACCCAGCCCCCTTCCCCTCTCAATAACGCTCCCCTTGCCATAGCTACCCCCTGCTTCCCAGCGGCCATGAGGTGAGCAGCTTTCTTCAGGCCCAGCTAATAGTCTGCAGCCTCTGAAATTGTGAGCCAAAATAAATATTTCTTCTGTTAAGTTGATTTTCTCAGGTGTTTTGTCACAGAAACAGAAAGCTAACACAAACTCAATAAGAAAATAAAGAAAAATACCAATGTTCTTTTGCCTTGTGAGCTAGAAAAGCATGGCCCTTAATAATAGGAAATGAATGTTATATTCTCAATGAGGCACTGGAATAGGGCCCACCCCCCAGTGTAGAGTTGGATCTAAGGCAAGAACTAAGGGAGTCCCAACACAGGAGGTCAATAAGAAAAACAGGTAGAACTACAATGTGGTATTTTAGATCAGGGGTTTGGATTTAGACAGAAACTATAGCTCTACCACATATCAGCCACATAATCTTGAGTCAGTCACTTAACCAAGCCTTAGTTTCCTTACCTGTAAAATGGGGATCAAAATAAAGAAATCTATCTAGGAAAATTATTTATTTGTATTATATATTCCCATGGTTTGGATGTGGTTTGCTCCCCAGGGTTCATGTGTTAGAAACATAATCCCCCGTGTGACAATCTCGAGAGACAATGGGACCTTTAAAAAGTAGAACCAGACAAGAGTTGGTGAGATCACTGGGGGCACTGCCCTTGGAAGGGATTAGGTAGTTCTCATGGGACCCATTTCTTTAAACACAATGTTATAAATGGACCTTGAAAGAGCATGTTTACCCAGGAAGTAATTAAAAAGTATGGCCTGTGTTTAGGCCCTATGAAGGCATCACAAGAAGTAAATGGTGAAGGCAATAACAGCTAATGAGAAGAGCCATTGATTTGTGCATTTACTTGTACCATCATACACTGTGGTTAAATCCCCCTTGTACAAATTCTCAATTCAACCTTGAGACATAAGTTTGTCTTATTTTTTTTTTAATTTTTATTGTTGGTTGTTCAAAACATTACATAGTTCTTGACAAATCATATTTCACACTTTGATTCAAGTGGGTTATGAACTCCCATTTTTACCCCGTATACAGATTGCAGCATCACATCGGTTACACATCCACTGTTTTACATATTGCTATACTAGTGTCTGTTGTATTCTGCTGCCTTTCCTATCCTCTACTATCTCCCATCCCTTCCCCTCCCATCTTCTCTCTCTACCCCATCTACTGTAATTCATTTCTCCCCCTTGTTTTTTTCCCCCTTTCCCCTCACTTCCTCTTGTATGTAATTTTGTATACCATGAGGGTCTCCTTCCATTTCCATGCAATTTCCCTTCTCTTTCCTTTTCCCTCCCACCTCTCACCCCTGTTTAATGTTAATCTTCTTCTCATGCTCTTCCTCCCAACTCTGTTCTTAGTTACTCTCCTTATATCAAAGAAAACATTTGGCATTTGTTTTTTAGGGATTGGCTAGCTTCACTTAGCGTAATCTGCTCTAATGCCATCCATTTCCCTTCTATGATTTTGTCATTTTTTAATGCAGAGTAATACTCCATTGTGTATAAATGCCACATTTTTTTTATCCATTCGTCTATTGAAGGGCATCTGGGTTGGTTCCACAGTCTTGCTATTGTGAATTGTGCTGCTATGAACATCGATGTAGCCGTGTCCCTGTAGCATGCTTTTTAGGTCTTTAGGGAATAGACCGAGAAGGGGAATAGCTGGGTCAAATGGTGGTTCCATTCCCAGCTTTCCCAGGAATCTCCATACTGCTTTCCAAATTGGCCGCACCAATCTGCAGTCCCACCAGCAGTGTACAAGTGTACCCTTTTCCCCACATCCTCGCCAGCGCTTGTTGTTGTTTGACTTCATAATGGCTGCCAATCTCACTGGAGTGAGACGGTATCTTAGGGTGGTTTTGATTTGCATTTCTCTGACTGCTAGTGATGGTGAGCATAGGTTTGCCTTATTTTATAGATGAGAAAACAAAGGTTTGGAGAGAATAATCAACTTCCCTAAGACCACATCAACTAATTAAGGGATAAAGCTGGGGCTCGAGCTCAGGTGCTCAGTTCCAAAGGCCGCGTTTTTGCCACATCCTGAATTCACACGGACACTTTCTCTATTCTCCCCTGATGTCGAGGTGGGCCCAATACATACAATATGCAAGTTCCTGCAGTGGATCCCCCTACCTCTCCACATCCTCCTGTCCCTTTCCTTGGACCTGTCTGTTCAGATGCCTTCCTAGAGGTTTCTCTTCCCTGCAGATGACAGTAAGTCATTAGGTTCCTGGGACAAATCAGACAACTTCTTATGCACTTAATTACAGGAAGTTTAAATACAGGGTTGTTGGGTTTTTTGGGTTTTTTTTTTTTTTTTATAAAAACCTCTTGAATAATTTTGCCCCAGGAACATTGCTTTTCTAAGAGCTATTTATGGAGACACAGTCCCCTGAAAGAATCATTGAGTTGAAGGAATTTATGATCATACTGTTACTGTTTTAGTCAGCTTTTTCACTGTTGTGATAAAATTGGACCCAACCAGACAACTGTAGAGGAGGAAAGGTCTATTTAGGGGCTCACAGTTTTTGAGGTCCCCATCCATAGACAACAGACTCCATTCCTTGGGGCTCAAGGTGAGGCAGGATCACTATGGCAGAAGAGTGTAGCAGAGGGAACCAGCTCACATGATGATTAGAAAGCAGAGAGAGAGGTCTCCGCTTGACAGATACAAAATATATATCCCATAGCCACGCCCCCAATGAACCATTTTTCTCTAGCCATACCCCACCTGCATCCAGTTACCACTCAGTTCATCCCATCAGGGATTAATTCACTGACTGGGTTAAGGCTATAACCCAATCATTTCTCCTCCAAACCTTGCACTGTCCCACACAGGAGCTTTTGGGGGACACCACATCCAAACCATAACAGTTACTATCATGTTAAAAGCAAGAAGGACCATAAAGAACACATGTCCAGCTCCCTCATTTTGTAGAGGGGGAGGCATGGCTTAGAGATTGAAAAACCTATCCTAGGCAAAGAGTATATCAGAAATGTCTACACCTTTTACCCAATTTTGCTATGAACTAAAAACTGTTTTAAAAAAAAATTTTTTTAAACCTACCCTAAAAGTAAAGAGCTATGAATAATCATAAACTAATATTGCTGAACTGCAGGCTATGAAATTTGTTCAAAAACAAGGCACTTATTCTAAAAGCAAGGAGTCATTATGAGCAATTGCTGATCCTACTTCTTGAGACTACATCTGACCCCAGTTAAGAATAATCAGCTACCTCTTTTTATAAGCCTAAGTGTCCTTCACGAAACTAAATGTATGAAAAGCCAGCATGAAGGAAGTTCAAGAGCGAGATTGCCTTGGTTTCTGTGAGTAAACAGAGGTGCAAAGACACTGTTCTAGTGTCTCCCCAGAGAGATCTCCACCCTCCTCCCCTGCTTATGGGCTAAGCGACTGGGGGTTACCACTCAGTATGTTTCCCTACCCATAAAATGAACTCTCACTACAAGCCCCAGAGCTATTTTCTATAAACGTGGCTGTATAACCAATGTGATCCTGCAATTTGTACATGTGGGAAAAATAAGAATTCATACCCCATTTGAATCAAATGTATGATATATGATATGTCAAGATCATTGTAATGTTTTGAGCAACTAATTAAAAAAAAAAAAAAAAAAAAACTGTCCCGAATGTCAGGGGGAATCATGACTGCAGAGAAAAAAATTCAGGCAACATAAGTTATTTTAGGGCAACACTCACCACCCTTTTCCTCTCTAGAAGTCTGCCCTAGAGTTAGTTGGAAATCATCCTGCTTTTGCATTTTTTGTCTTTCCTTCCCTTAATTCAGGCAGTCTTTTCTGAGTGCCTGCTGTCTTTAAGCACAGGGTAGGTACCAAGGGGACAGAAAGGGAAGCAGAGCATAGTTTTTTGTGCTAATAGTTTACTTCAATCTTTTCCAGATCAATCCATTTGTTTTCTAACTATGCCAGCCCCACTCCCACTTGAAAGCACAGGGAATACATGAAACAAGACTGGAAAAATATTGAGAAGTACTGAAGGTACCATAGGAGACAGGAAGGACACCAAGCGTCAACTCCACAAATATTTACTAAGCACTCATGCATCAGTGCAAAAGGGTGTGGTCTTCATTCAGCAACTGAGAGCACCGAAACCAGCATTCCAATGTCTATGTCAATCTCATCAGTCTGCAGATACAGGGTGTCTGAGTGGGCATGATGGCCCAGGCACATGGTAGTCCCCTGAGACTCCCTGGGGCACCAGTGCTACTCCTTACCCTTGCAGAATTCCTGGGAGCTGATTATTTGCACACTCATTGTCCTACCTTCCTTAGGCCTCTGGTGTTCACTGTCCCAATTATAGCTCCTTAGAAGGCTTCTGAGTGATCACTGCCTGATCCTTATGCACCCCTTGGGCGGTGGACAGGATGGATATGGTGACAGCTATTTACATGTACAAGTCACTATACTCAAAAGACTGAGCTCCAAAGGGCCCTAACTAGAAGCATTTAAGCAATAAAATAATGGTGGCACTGTATTGTAGCCCAAGAATAAAATGACCATTCATGAGTCAGTACTAATACAAATTATCACAAAATAAATGAACAGGAAAGAAAGGGCAGCTGTTCCTTACAGGAAACTTTCAGTTAATAAGGAAGTGGGAAATGGAAAAAAAATCATGATTAGGCAAACATCACAATAATAACTATTGCAAACTGCAGACAAGACTCACCAATGTGTACTAAGGTTAAAGGAAGAAATTTTGAGGATCAGCAGAATTTGCTTATTCATAAAGTATCTCTCTTGGCTATTAACTACAAAGGGAAAGGCAGTAACTTTGTAGTGGAGAAACCCAACAATGTCACCTTAAGGAAGTGACTGAGGTTAAAATCACCAGTGGCAATACTTACTAATCCCGTGAACTGGTAATATGTCACACCAAGCAGAGAACATCACTTCTGTAGTATTTATGCCAAAACACATGGCTTCATAACAAGCATAAGAAAACATCAAACAAATATTCCACAAAATAACTAACTGGCATTCTTCAAAAAAGGAAAAATTATGAAAGACAAGGAAAAAAATCAGGAATTATTTCAGATTGGAGGAGATGAAGGAGAATTAAAAACTAAATGTGATGTAGGATACTCAAGGTACTATGGAAACAAAACCAAAAGAAAAAGAAAAGACACTTGTAGCAAAACTGTTGAACTTAAAATAAAGTCTATTGTTTAGTTAACAGTAGTGATAAATGTACCATGGTTATGTAAGAGGTTAATAATAGAGAATAATAGAGGAAGCTAAGTGAACACTGTATCATTTTCCCAACCTTTAAGTAGGTCTAAAATGAGTTAAAAATAAAAAGTTAAAGGAGAATAAAGTCTGAGACAGAGTATATCCCAAGTCAATATAACGGAGTACATTAACTTAATTCTCCAAGAGAATCACTGTTTTTTGTATTCCTAATGCCTCAAACCAACATGATACATAGCAGGTGCTCAATTTGGTAAATAATGAATGATTTTCTAGGAAATGTTAGTTGAAATATATTAAGGACACACCACAATTCCAGCCTAACTACTAAAAGAGATGACATAGTTAAAAAAAAAAAAAAAAAGAGGGAAGCAGGATAAAGTTAATAGAGAAAGAAAAATTAATGGATATAAAATTCCATCTTCAGAAAAAATTTTAAATTAAAAAGTTTCACCCCAATACTAGCTCACTTTGGTTTACAAACACCAACCCTTTTCAAAGGGTAGTGGACCCCATCTCTGATAAACGGCACTCTCTCTGTCTTGCTCACCACCTTCTGACCCTCTGCCACTGTGTATTCAAATAGCTAGGTCTGGGACTCAGGAAAATGCAATTTTAACAAGCTCCTCAGGTGACTCCTCTAGGCAGTAAAGTTTGAGAACTATTGAAATAAGAGAAAGGACCTGGAAATAGAGCCTTCAGAAATGTTAATTTTCCTATATGTGAGAAAACCAAGACAGGTGAAAATGAGATTGATAAAATTCATTGAAATAGCTTTTGATTCTGTCATTTGGGAAATAACCAGAGGGGTTGACCTTGCTAAAATAACCAGAAATGGAAAAGAATCTGAATATTAACAATGGGGATCTGATGTAATTAATTATAGCATATCCACATGATAGAATACATGCTTTCATTAAAATGGCATTTGAAAGTACTTAAGTATAGGGGAAAGTGCTAAGTGGGGGGAAAAAGAATATAAAAATGTATGTAAAGTACAATCCCAATTCTGTAATCTATGTAGGTACATATCTTCTATATAAAAAACTGCCAGAAAGAATCACTAATAAGTCATCTCTCAGTTATGAATTAGGGAAACTTGTTTCTTCTGTAACTTCTAATTTACCAGGGTTTTTATGACAAAAACAATTTTTTTCTGATAAAATGACTACATAGTTTTTCTTTAAAAATGTATTTAAAGATGACACATTAGAAGGATCATGACTTTTAGTTACAAAAGTTTAACAGCAATTCATTCATATAACCTTTAAGAAAACCTATTCTAAATGGGCCCAACAAGTCCCAATCTCAAAGAAAAACCTCAAAGGCTTTCAGTAATTAATACTAGAGAACCCTGTGGTCTTGGCTTGAAATGCTTATTCTTAGGCTCTAGAATTTTTTTATTTTACTATTACTTCTTTTTTTTTCAAAGGTCTAAGTTGGGGCCAAGAAATCTATATTTTTAACAGGAACTCAATTCATATCTGAGACATGAAGGCAACTTTGAGAAACCATTGTTCATTAATGGCTTTTTTTAAAAGACTAGAAAACAACAACTGACTTGTTTTGGATGTTCCCATTCTGAATAACATATCTTCAAAGAAATAATCAGTTCTCAAATTATTTGCAGGCACCTCTAATAAAGCACATAATATTAATAGCTCAGCTTAAAGTAGATACTAAATACTTATGTAATCCCAGAGCTGGTTTGATTGCCCTCCCTACTCATTCCCCCTCAGGCTACAGAAGTGCAGTTCAAAATCTCTCTTTAAGAGATGTTTTCAATCAGAGCAAAGCTACAGACCCCTCTCAAAAATGCATATATCAGGGACACAGAGTTTCTGCAACTTTATGGAGTTTCCAGTGTCCACAAAGTCTAAACCTGCTCTACAAGCTCAAATTCAAAAACTATACCCAAACAAGCACTATCTCCTTCCCCTAGGGAGACATTCCAGTACTCTGGCCACGTTCCAGAATAGTCCTCCACGCCCTCTTTTGAATACCAATTTCTCAACATGAACCCTGAATCCTATTCATTCCGATCTAAGATTTCTTGACCTTCTTGTATCATCATGTTCTTTTCCTTAAAAAAAAAAAAAAAGTAGCTGATTAATGTTTAAAGGAGAAAAACCACGTCTTCTCAGCTCTCAAATTTCCACCTTCTTCCAGCTGCCATTCATCAAACAGCCAGATCTACCAGTGCCCTCAAGCCTTGATGTCCTCATCCCTCACCCACTCTAGAACACTTTGCAACAGAGTGCACACCCACCCTCCTTAAGGCTACCAACCCAAAGGCCTTCCCTTGGTATACATCCCGCTGGGCCTTACCCCACCCCCAAGCCTAGAGTCAACATAACTTACCTAAAGGAAAACAGAACAGCAAGAGGCACCAATCAACAGATACCGAATAGAACCCGACTGAGGGCAGAGGTCTCTGAAATCCTTTAAAATCCACGTGACAAACCCTTCCTGAAAAAGATCAGGACTTCTGCGCGCCTCGCAGGCCCCCAGGCTGAGATCAGTTTCCCAGGGAAAACGAAGAGGAGGGGGTTCTCAGGTGAACACGCCCGCAAGGGCAAGAGGTGCTGATAGGCGATCCAGGAATCGTGATGCGGAGCCGCTGGGGCAGCGCCCTGGGTCTTTCCCTACCGGGCAGCATCCCATCTACCCTCCCGGGCCCGCAGCAGAGGCTGTGCGCTGCGGAATGCCGTTACCTGAGCCTCAGCCCCGCGCCAGGCTTGGCCTCCGCAGGCCCCTTGTCCGGTCCGCTGCTCCAGTAGACGCAGGACAGCCCCACCAAAGCCAGGCCGCGCGCCCGCCCAGACCGAGACTGGGGACAGACCCAGTCCGCCACCCAGCAGTCGCTGCTCTACACCCGCCTCCCCGGGATGACGCGCCCCAGAGCCAGCGGAGGCCGCGCGTACTCACAGATGTAGCAGCCACAGCGAGCACAGCCCAGGGGAAAGGGGAGGTGGCAAGGACCAGCCCCGGGGACCGCCCTCCCTCGCGGGAGGCGGCTCCCGAGTGCGCGCTCCGCCTCCCGCCCTCTCGGCCTGGGGGGCGGGTCTGCCCAGTGTTTCGCGGGTCTGGCACTCCACCCGCGGCCACGCGGATCCCACCCGGGCGCTGGAGAGAGCAAGGGGACCGAAATGTCCATCTCGGCCCTGGGTGATTGTAAAACTTGTGTCATAGTGGAGAAAGTGCTGGGCTCCCCAAATTGCATTTCCGCAAATGTTCACAAAGCCCAAGGAAGGGGATTGGAACCTTCCCCCTTTACAGAGTAGGAAACTGACCTTTCGAGGTTAATAAACTTGCCTTCTATCACCCTGACTGGTTTCGGCCTTCTCACCTGCGAATCTACCAAATTTCCGGGCTTTTCTCCTTTTGTGGGAATATTAATATTAAATGAATAAGTGTTTTAAAATCCTAATTTCTTTTGTTATAGAAAACCAAGACAGAATTATGTTTATACTAAAGATTTGAATGAAACATTATAGTGGGTTCTGCTTAAACAGACAGAAAAGCCAGCTAGATTCTCCGGGGCATCCTTCCTAAGCACCCCACCCCCAAAAAAACTGGAAAAAATTAGTGCTGCGGTCATTGTACCTAAGCGGGAGCCCTGGGACTATACTGAGGCCTCGTGTCAATAGTAGCACTTGACCTGGATTTGTATTAAGAGACGACTGCAATAAAGCCAAAACCTCTGGAGAGCCTAAGCCCAAATCCCTAAATTCTGGGCAAAAACAATATAAACCCCCTCTAGAGGGCGCATTCTCATAGAATCAAGCCAATTTTTTTTTTTTTAATTAATAAGCCCCAAAAGCCATACATGACTGTCAGCAGAATTTATACCCAACTGATTTAGATCCCCCAAAGAAAGTGAGAAGAAAAACTTTTGACAAACTGGATGTAACATAGTTTACTTGAGCAAAGAACGACCCACAAATCAGGCAACACTGAAGGAGTATGATGCAACAGGAGGCAGAAATCGCTATTTGTGATCCAGCTTAGCGGGGAGGGGGGCGGAGCGGTGATACACGCGTGTAATTCCAGCCACTGTAATTCCAGCCACTGGGGTGACTGAGGTAGGAAGATCACAAGTTCAAGGCAAGCCTCAGCAGCTCAGCAAGACCCTGTCTCAAAATGAAAAATAAAAAGGACCCAAGATGTAACTCAGTGGTAAAGCACTCCTGGGTCCTGTTCCCATAAACCAAAAAAAAAGACTGGACTTAGAAATGATACAGTTTCCCTTCCACTATTCCATTTGTCCCAGCAGCCACAGGCTAGGCCAGATTTAAGGAGAGGGAAACATATTCCTATAGCTCAGGGAGAAGAATGTCAAAGTATTTGATGTTGTTCTGAATCTACGCTAAAGGTATTTATTTCTAATTTTCTCCATAATATCTTTACTGCATCTTTTTCTCAATCCAACAGCACACATAAAGAAGTCTCTGTCGTGGGTGGAAGTGTACCCTCTCACCCCCAGTTCATAGGTCAAAGTCATAACCCCCAGTACCTCAGATGTGTCTATATTTGGAGATAAGACATTGAAAGAGATAAGAAAATATAAATAGAGTCATCAATGTGGGACCTATTCCAATATGACTGGTGACTTTATAAGAAGAGAAGATTAGGACACAGACAACACTGGCAGAGGAAGACCATATGAGGGCACAGCAAGAAGGTGGCTGCCTACAAGCCAAGGTTGCCTTAGAAGAAACCAAAGCTGTTGGACACCTTCAACTTGTACTTCCAGCCTCCAGAATTGCCAGAAAATGTTTAAGTCATTTTGGTATTTTATTATAACAGCACTAACATACGAGTAGTCTCCTTTAATCGGAAACAGTTTGTCATCTTTTCTTGGCTTTCATGACACTGATGTTTTTTAAGACTACAGGCCGATTGTTTCATAGAATGTTCCATTTGGACTTGTCTTATTCTCACAATTAAATTCCAGTTATGTATTTAACTATGATAAAAAAGACGTTATATCCTCAGAACATGTGTGATGCCAGTTTGCATTATCAGTGACCTCTAGAAGCGTTCATGCTTGTAACCCTGAACCACCAGGTAAACATCTGACTACTCTGAGACTACCATATAGTAGAAAGTCCATGTTAGCCATGTGAAGAACCTAGGTGAAAAAGAAAAGGAGATGCCCAGCCACTTCCCAACTATTTCAATAATTGCCCACTAAGAGTCATTCTAGCAGAAGTTCCAGATATCATGGAGTAGAGAAGAGCCTCCCCTGCTCTGCCATACCTGAATCCTGACCACAGAATCAAGAGATTCAAGAATAATAAATTATTTTAAGTATGGCAGTCATTTGATATACTGCAATAGTTAATCAAAACACATCACATATTAGATAATAATAGTCTAGCCACATTAAATGTCTTAAATTTGATCATTGTATTGTTGTTGAATGAGAGAATGTCTTTTTCTTAGCACTTATTTAATGATGAAGTGTCTTGATGGTTTAATTAATATGACAGAAATAGAAAGGACAAATGTAGGAAAATGTTAACAATTGGTGGAGCTAAAATGTATACTTTGTTCATTGAGTAATTTTTGCAACTTTTCTAAGGAACGAAATTTCTCAAAACAAAAAGTGAAAAGGAGAAAAAAGACCAAATCTCAAAAGTTGGAAAAAGCAGTAAATGGACATCCCCTTCTGGTCATGATTAAGTAACAGAAACCACACTTACCATACCACACTTACCACACTAAGGCATCTTTAAACACACACCACATCACACACACACACACACACACACAATGTAGATCAGTTTACAAGACATCTGATATCAGGTAACAAAGGATGGTGGTGATCTTGGAGAGACAGGAAGCAAACAAGGTAAGTACAATTTTCCAGCTTACTACCTTGAGGGAGTTTCCAAACTGCAGCAGAGGGAGAGAAAACTGAGGCAGAGGCTCAAAGGCTCCCTGGATTGAGGAGACAGATCCTAGATTCCAAAAGACCATGACAGAGTTCCCAGGATAAAATAACAGAGAACAAATAATAGGTGGGACAAATAGCAAGACGATGTACTCAAACCTAACCATAACACTAATTACATTAATCTAAAAGGATATAAGCTCCCCAATTAAAAGGTAGAGAATATTATATTGGAGTTTTAAAAGAAGCAAAACACCACTATATTCTTTTTACAAAATTACACTTCAAATATTAAGATTATATATCAAATAAGATTAAAGTAAAAGAATGGGAAAATATATACCATGTTAACACTAGAGGATGAAACTGAATGGTAAGGTACATGTTTAGCATCTGCAAGGCCCTGAGTTCAATCCCTAGCATCAAAAACAAACAAACATAGCTCAGGAGCTGAGGCAAGAGGATGGCAAGTTCAAAGCCAGCCTCAGCAAAAGTGAGGTACTAAGCAACTCAGAGAAACACTGTCTTTAAATAAAATACAAAATAGGGCTGGGGATGTGGCTCAGTGGTTGAGTGCCTCTGAGTTCAATCCCTGGTTCCCAAAAAACAAACAAACAAAAACAACGACAACAAAAGAAACTAGATTAGAGACTTCAAAATCGACAAAATAAATTTCAGAGTAAAGAAAAAGGCATAAAGAAGGTCATTTTATAATAATAAAAGAAGGGATCATATATTAAGAGAAAATAATTCGGGGCTGAGGATGTGGCTCAAGCAGTAGCGCACTCACCTGGCATGTGTGCGGCCCGGGTTCGATCCTCAGCACCACATACAAACAAAGATGTTGTGTCTACCGAAAACTAAAAAAATAAATAAATAAATATTAAAATTCTCTCTCTCCCTCTCTCTCTCTCACTCTCTCTTAAAAAAAATAGAAAATAATTCAAACATTTATGAACCTAATAATAAGAAAGCCTCAATATATGTGAAGTAAAAATTGTTAGAACTGTGAAAAGAAATGGGCAAATCCATGATTATAGTCAATATTACAGATTGGATGTGAGGTCTCCCCAATAAACTCATTTGATAGACAATACAGGAATGTCCAAAGATTAAGTGATCAGATTATGAAAGTTGTAACCTGATCAGTGGACCTACCCATTTGATGTATTAATAAATTTGTATGAATTACTGGGTGGTAACTGTTGACAGGCAGGGTATGGCTGGAGGAAGCATGTCACTGAGGGTCAGCCCTTGGGGATTATTATCTTGTTCATACAATTTTTAAAATTCTGTGTGACTCAGCGTATTTCGAATTGTCATTTGAATTTCATTTAGTAGCAGTGAGAATGATGAACGCATTTTCATAAAATAAAGATGTCTTTGCATTTCCTTATCTATCATTATTCCTTCTTATATTTTGCCCACTCTACTATTGGTTTATCTGTCTCCCTAATGGGATTCATGGTATTATAAGTGGCATTTTAAAATTTAAATTCCAAATTGTTTATTACTAGTATGTAGAAATTCAATTCATTTTTATATAATGATCTTGTGCCTTATAATATTGCCAAACTCATTTATTTTGATAGCTTTTTATCTTTATTTGATTGGAATTTCTACAGAGACAATAAACTAATAAAGACAGTTTTTTCTTCTCAATCTGGATTCCTTCTATCCTTTTAAAAAATATTTTTTTTTAGTTTGACATTATGATGCATTACGCTGATTGATTTTTAAATGTTAAAACTTTCATTTTTGGAATGAATCCTGCTTGGTCATAATGTAATTTCCCTTTTAATTTGTTAAAATTGCATTTAGAAAATTTGCATCTATGTACAATATTGGATATTGGATAGAAGCAGTGCCAAAGGCATCCTTGTCTTGTTCTTGTCTTAGTGGGAAAGCATTCAGATTTTCATCATGAGCATGAAGTTAGTT